TCAGAACACTGAGAGAATTCCAGGCTGCAAACTCCTCCCTGAGCTCACCTTAACATGTTTTAAATTTAAATTTTCCTGCATGTTTTTCTGAGGGAGGAGTGGAGGTTCTTCTGAATGTCACAAAAACTAAACCTAAAGGCAGACTCGGCCTCCCCCTGAAGATTTGATTTACCTGTGTCTGTCCTGGGTGCCTCATCAGTAACTACAGGTAAGCCAGAGGCAAAGAAATCCATTATGGTTGCATAAATATCTGGTTTCAGTAAGTTCCAATCCAGGTCTTCACTGTCCTGTGAGAATCAGAAGAGGGGAAGGAAAAAGAATGAAGAGTACCTGCCTGCTGCTGCTATGTGCACAGAGATTCTCACATTAAAAATGCCATCGTGGACTCTCACAGTTGATGCACAGACTGGACTTTATGTTCCCTCAAGTCTGGCTTTGCCAAAGATGTTTAGTCAGACTCAGACTGTGACAGCCAAAGAAAGGTCTCCTTGTTTGCAAGCCAAGCAAGTGCTTTTAAAGTATTAGCTAAAAAGGTGTGAAAGTCTCCAAAATACATTATTATTTCACAGATATTTTTATCAACTTTCACAGACTCAAAAGTGTGAATTTACCAATTTATCATCCCCTAAACTTGTTTTGTTTTCTATTAAAGGCACTTGTAGACACTTCTCTGGAACTCCACTGTGCCTGTCTGGGTCTGCTCTGTGACCATTCCACAGCTCATCTCTGAGCACAGCTGAATCCCTGCTCTGCTCACCTTGGTGATGGTGATGAAGTCTGGCCCAAAGAAAACACTTTTAACTCCTTCAATCCGGAATAACTGTCTGTTAAGGACACAAGGGGGGAAAAAATGGGCAAAAATGCACTCAATCTGACAAACCGAGTTTTAATTTGAACAATTAACAATATGGTTAACCCAACAATTTCATCTACAGAAAAAAAAAATTAAACTCTGGTGAACTTGGAGTAAATACAGTGTAAGGCTGTAAGAGTGTTTTTGTAATTGCAGAGGGAAAAAAATATATTCTCTTGGAAGACTGGAAGACATCAAAAATGCAAAGACTGAAAGGATCGGAAATCTTAGCACAAAAGCATGTGTAATGGAAAATGATAAAAGTGATTTCACAATACCCACTTGAAACAGCTGTATGTGCACTGAGCATTTGCATCACTAAATCAACTGGATTTTGAAAAGACTTAAACCATGGAATTATGCAAGTGCACAAAACTATCTGAAATAATTAAATAATTCTCTTTCCTCCTCCTCCAGGGAGCTTCTGTTAATTCTTTGGAAATTTTTATTCCAAATTCTATTTAAAAGGGAATAATAATACCTTGCTAAAGGTGAGCAATAGGCTGCAGCTGGTGTGGAAAACTCCATAGTCCTCGACTCCAGCACTTCCCTTCCTGGAATAAACTTCAAGCTATTTGGATTTGGTGTGTCCTGGGTTTGAATAAACATGCCTCTCACTGCAAAGACAAAAACAAAGAAGAAAAGTAATATAACCAAACCTAAGGAGCTTAAATCAAAGTCAAGTCCTGATTACTCAGCGAGCCCAGGGTGATCCCAGACCACGGGAACACTGCTGAGCACGGGCACATCATCTCACAGGAGACAGCAGGACAAAAGGAACCTTGGCTTAGCTTCTTTTGCTAACTTTTATTTATGAAAAAGCAAACTTTCAGCATTACCACGGGACGTAAGAACCCACAATGTGCTCATCTGTTCATTTTAGCTGGTATTTACCTGCACGATGCCATGCTGCAGAGGGAAGAGATGGTTTCTTTTGCAGAAGCTGGTGGAAAGGCTGGCGAGTTGTCAGATGATGATCTTTTAACAGCATGTGACAGAACCTAGAGAAAAATAACTTTACTAGCAATTTCCAAATTCCTCATTTGCTCTGTCCCCAAGAGAGAGCATTGCAGATGCTTTTAGCTGCCCTGGGACTCAGCAAGGCACACCTGGGATGGTGTCGTTGGCTCAGACAAAGCGGGGAGAGCAGCAGAGAAAAAAGGGACAAACATTAAAAAGGAAAAGCAGGACAGAGTGATGGAGTAACAGGCTTGTTTCACACTTGTGAATACCTGATTCCTCTAACTGTATGCACAGCCAACATCAGGGTATTTCAAAGCAAAGTGACCATCAGAAAATGAAAACAAAACCCACCTCACATCACAGACTAATTATTACATACTAAGGATCAATTATTATCTAGTTCCTCTCCTCCTTATCAGCTACACGAGAGGAAAACTGATAAACTCAGTAAATCCCATCTTCCATAAGAGGCTGGTTCTCTCTGGGGGTCATAAACCAGAACACAAGCACTGCACAGAGGCCCAGCCCCAAACATGGAACAGGAGAGAAGCTCTGTCTCATGAAATGAACATCCCTGCTGCGAGCATAGGATACAGGAATAAAGAAAAGGTCTAAATCGTGTTATTTCCTTACTTTTGTGGGCTTGGGAACAGGTAGAAGCTACAACAGGATGTGTAAGGAAGGTCCCCTGGAAGCTCCCTTTAGCTAATGATGATTATATCCCATTTTACAGTGCTCAGCACAGAGCAGGTGTGCCCAGCACTACAGGGTCCTCTAAATTCCCTCTTACTGCTTAATCTTGAGCCAGTTGTGGGAGAGGAATTTCATCTTTCTTCACCGCCCTGAACATACAGGAATGTAACAGCTCCTCATTGTCTGATCCTGTGCACACGTGGAGGGGCAGAATTACTCCTCATTGCAGCATCCTGAGCACATGTGAGGGGAATTACACACGGCTGCAATGTCCTGAGTGTGAGGGGAATTACCCCTCGGTGCAGGGTCCTGAGCTGGGTGTGAGGGGAATTACCCCTGAGAGCAGGATCCTGAGCGGGTGTGAGGGGAATTACCCCTGAGAGCAGGATCCTGAGCGTGTGTGAGGGGAATTACCCCTCAGAGCAGGATCCTGAGTGGGTGTGAGGGGAATTCCCCCTGAGAGCAGGATCCTGAGTGGGTGTGAGGGGAATTACCCCTTAGTGCAGGATCCTGGGTGGGTGTGAGGGGAATTACCCCTCAGTGCAGGATCCTGAGTGTGTATGAGGGGAATTACCCCTCAGAGCAGGATCCTGAGTGGGTCTGAGGGGAATTACCCCTGAGAGCAGGATCCTGAGTGGGTGTGAGGGGAATTACCTCTCAGAGCAGGATCCTGAGTGTGTATGAGGGGAATTACCCCTGAGAGCAGGATCCTGAGCGTGTATGAGGGGAACTACCCCTGAGAGCAGGATCCTGAGTGGGTGTGAGGGGAATTACCTCTCAGAGCAGGATCCTGAGTGTGTATGAGGGGAATTACCCCTCAGTGCAGGATCCTGAGCGGGTGTGAGGGGAATTGCCCCTCAGTGCAGGATCCTGAGTGTGTATGAGGGGAATTACCCCTCAGTGCAGGATCCTGAGCGGGTGTGAGGGGAATTACCCCTTGGAGCAGGATCCTGAGTGTGTATGAGGGGAATTACCCCTCAGTGCAGGATCCTGGGTGGGTGTGAGGGGAATCACCCCTCAGTGCAGGGTCGTGAGCGGGTGTGAGGGGAATTACCCCTCAGTGCAGGATCCTGGGTGGGTGTGAGGGGAATCACCCCTCAGTGCAGGGTCGTGAGTGGGTGTGAGGGGAATTACCCCCTCAGTGCAGGGTCCTGAGTAGGTGTGAGGGAAATTACCCCTCAGTGCAGGATCCTGGGTGGGTGTGAGGGGAATCACCCCTCAGTGCAGGGTCGTGAGCGGGTGCGTACGGAATTTTGCCTCACGGTTCTCCCCGGGTGTACAGGGCTGAGCACCCAGGAGCTGCGTGTCAGGGAGAGCCACCAGCTTACGGCGTGAAAGGCCTGAGAAGGAGAAACAGCCTCTCGCTGTCTGCCAGGAAGAAGCGTCACCCCGTCCGCGGTGGAGAAAGGAAGGGGAAGAGCAAGGAGCACCCTGGAGGTCGCAGTGCCGCTAACTGCGACGCGGCTCCCTTTCAGTCGCGTGGGGAAAGGGCGGGAGGGGCCCCCCATCGGGAATAAGCCGAGCTCCCTCCGGGAAAAAGCCGTGCCGGAGCAGCGGGAGCCGCGGGGCCCGCGGTCACCTACCGCCCGCCCAGCCCCGCCGCCGCGCAGAGCCGCCGCGCCGCCGCCATCTTGGCACTCCCCGGGGCCGCTCCCGCCGCCGCCCGGGCACGGCGGCGCCCCCTGACGGCAGCGCCTGAGGGGGACAGCGGCCATGGCGGCGGCGATCGGGACGGGACGGGCTCCGACCGGGGCTACCGGGGCCACCGAGCGCCGCTCCCGGCACGGCAGGGCCGCCACTGCTCCGTGTGACCGTGTGCCGCACACGCACGGCTGTTAAATCCCCCCAGATGGGGCATGGCGACTCCAGCGCTGCCCGCGGCAGCCTGTCTTAGGGCCGGGCAGCGCTTTCCAGGATGGAATTTTCCCAGTTTCCAGGAAGGAATTGAAGGAATTTTCCCAGTTTCCAGGAAGGAATTGAAGGAATTTTCCCAGTTTCCAGGAAGGAATTTTCCCAATTTCCAGCCTGAGGCCGATTCCTCTCTCGTCCCTGTTCCCTGGAGCAGAGCCAGACTCCTCCTGTCAGGAGTTGTGCAGAGCCAGAAGACAGCACAAAATCCCTCTCAATGGACATTTGCACCAAGACAGAAATTAAATTAACAAGTGCAGCAAAGCCCAAATAATATTTTGCACTTAAGAGAGTCTTGGCAGCTGAATTATACCGAAAAACATGTTTAAGCAGCACACAACGAGTGCTCAGGGCTGTCCTCTCTATGAGAAGAGTTCTCTTTGGAATATAAACTGGATAGAAACTGAAATATCCTTTGCTTAAAACAGCAAGATCAGTTTGACTTAGCTGCCAGATAAAACAGCCAAACCCAGTTCAGCACTTAGGTAGGAAGAACTCATTAAAACCCAGATTCCCTGTGTCCAGCAGAAATATTTTCCCTGGGGAGGGGAGAAGGAAGGCACAATGGAGACGGCGCTTGTCATCAGATACAGTTTTAATAAAATGTACATAAGTTTACAAGTGGAACATTTCTTCATGATTACCAGGAACAGACGATCCCAAGCGGAGTGCAAAATTTGAGCCCAGGGATCTGCCAGGCACGGGGGGAACAGAGGGGACAGGGGGGGACACAAGTCACGGCGTGTCACTGTGGGTCACCGTGTGTCACCGTGGGGATCACGGGCACTCCCAGCTCCGGCTCCTCCTGGACACAAAGGAGGTTTTCCACGGCCAGTCTCGGTGTGTGGGACGCTCCACCTGCTGCATCCCACAGCAGAGCGAGCCCCCTGCCCTGCCACCCCGTCCCTTTGGAGGCACGGGACCAGGAACGCCGATCAGCGATATCCCTCTGACTCCACAGGGAGATTTCTAGGGGTGTGTGAGGGTATTTACCCACCTGCAGCAGAAACTACAGCCTGGGGGTTATTTCTAGGAACGCTAATGCAGCTGATCACGTTTCAGGAATGTGTTTGAGAACTGGAGCAGGGTTTCAGTGTCATGGTACTACTGAAAAAGTGCTTTGGGGTCTGTCAGTGTGCTCGAAGGCGTTGATTTAACACTGTGAGGAAACAAACAAAAACCCACAAAATTCAACTCCCCAACACAAGAGTCTTTGGTGGAAGCTGAGTTAAAGTAACTGATTAGCACTTTGGAGTGATTGAGTTCAGCAATGAAGCAGATCTCACCCGGTTTTGCTGCTGTGGCACCGAGGACATGATCAGGCCAGTGCTCACTCGGGGTCGGGGTCACGGCAGGAGAGGGGACACTGGGGACAGTCCCCAAAGTCCTGCAGCAGCTGGGGGGACAGTCCCCCCCAGCAGTCACGGCAGTGAGCACAGAGCCAACTGCTTCTTTTACTGATGCAGAAACTCTGATTAATCACTTTGAACAGAGACTTTAGTGCATTCAGTGGGTGAGAACCAGGAGCCAGTCCCTCTCCCAGCAGGATTCCGGGATTGTCACAGGGATGTGATAACCAGAGGACCCAGGGCAGTGAACAACTTTTACTACAGCATCACAAAAGATGTGAAACCAGTGGCTCTTTTCAGAAAACTGATTTCAAAACACCCCATTGAGTCTGTATGAGTCTCACTTCATTAAGATCACTGATTGTGTGGCAAATAATTAGCATGATTCTTCCACATTCATTAAAACAGTAAGCTTCAGATGCTATGGAAATTAAATTTCCACTTACAACTCATCACGCTGAGGCTGCAGCAGTGGTAGTGCAGGATTAGGAGGAACACAAGCTGGAAATGAGAAGGGTATTAGAGTAACAGGCATTGAAATTGAGTTTTCTGACCATAACCAGAAGTCCCATTACCTGATGAGTCACATGCAGAGATACAAACGAGCTGCCTCCACCCCCAGAAGAGATTTAAAACCGTTTAAGCACTGGATGTGTCTGGCAGGATCATGAGCTCTGGGGCACAGTTAGCGTGCTCTTCCTGTAAAGTGCCTGAAGGACAGAAAAGCTGCCAAAATGCCAGCTGGAAATTGAGCCTGCCCTGGCCGAGCAGGGCTGGAGTGGAGCCTGCACAGCTCGGTGCACCTTCCCTTTCTCCCAGCGTGAAGGGACAGGCTGATGCTCCTCCAGCAGCAGCTCCGTGCTGACAGAAGCTGCACTGAATTATTCAGAAGCAATTTTTCAAGTACAAATGAAGAGAAGGAAGAAGCTCCAGTGAGCAGAGGCAACACCTTGAAGCCACGTGGCTCACACAGGGTACCTGCTCACTCCAGCAAAGCATCTCCCTGTTGCACAGGTCCATGCACCGAGGCCTGGCCTTCCTTCCAGCAGCTTCTGAGCACATTGCAGAGCTCAAGGGCACTCCTGGCTCAGTGGGGCTGTGACACAGGCTGCTGGCTGGGCCCTCACACTCACGGTCCTTGAATTCACAGTTTGCTGTCACAGTCATTCTCTATGTCTCTCACTGATTGCATCCAGCAACAACCGACTTGGGGGAACACATAGTTAAAACTAAAACCACCTTTCGGGTGTATGTTTAAACAGACAACTAAACAACAAAACATAATAACAGCGTCAGCTTTGCTGAAGAAACATCTCAAGGGAAACCCAGAAATTCTCTACAGTACTTCTGTTTTCAGGAGGTGGTGATGGAGAGCAGAGAGCCCCATAAGCACCACTAGGCACGGATATTTATGAACTCAGTGCAGCCACGCAGGGCAGGGGGGTCCCGGCTCCACGAGTCCCCCCAACCTGGGCTCGGCTGGTCACTACTCACCAGCAACTCCTGGGAGACAATTCCTCCCGCATTCCAGTGTTCTCCCTCCCACCCCAAGGCTCCAACACCGCAGTCCAGGCTTTTCCCTCTCCCTTCCAGGCAATCCCCACATCCAGCACAACACTCGGCTCGTCTCTTGTACCTGGAGAGATTTTGGGGGGAAGTGAATTAAGGGAAGGGAAAAGGAGCACAGAGCGGCTGGGGTTTCCTTGCAAGCCATTGCTCCGCCAGGTGAGGCCGGATGAGTTTAACTCCCACCAGAGTGGGAGTAGCACAGAAGATACACAAAAGACAACAGCCATCATGGGCCGTTAAGGGAACATCAGCTCCAAAGAGCAGCCCCGGCACGGCCCGGGACACCTGGCCAAAGCAGAGATAAGAACGAGCACCTAATTAACACCGGAGGCAAAGAGAGAACCAACAGGAAAACAAACACTAAGAGCTACGTAACCTGGAACCAATGAGCGCTGAAGCAAGGAATTTCTATGGGCTTCTGACTGTATAAAAGACGTGAAAAATCTCCTAAACTCAGGTGCCATAGAGCGATTTCCTCTGCACGCCCGGGCTGTGCGTGGACGAAATTATTTCTGCTGCACATCGTGGCCAGAAGCGAAGTAAAGCCTTGGTTCTCTAGCACAAAAAATGTTGTCGGAGGGGTTTTGTGTTTGCCGCAGTTCCGCTGACACGGGGAGCGGGGCCGGGCGGGAACGGGGCCGAGCGGAGGGCAGCGGGTGGCCGCGGCGGAGGGGCCGGGCCGGGCACCGGGGCAGCTCCGGGCACAGGAGCCGGGACGGGCACAGGAGTCCCGGGCACAGGAGCCGGGACGGGCACAGGAGCCCCGGGCACAGGAGCCCCGGGCACAGGAGCCGGTCCAGGCACAGGAGCCGGGACGGGCACAGGAGCCCCGGGCACAGGAGCCCCGGGCACAGGAGCCGGGCCGGGCACCGGGACAGCTCCGGGCACAGGAGCCGGGACGGGCACAGGAGCCGGGACGGGCACAGGAGCCGGTCCAGGCACAGGAGCCCCGGGCGCAAGAGCCCCGGGCACAGGAGCCCCGGGCACAGCCCCCAGCGCAGCGCCGGGAGGGTGAAGCAGGAGCGGGATGATCGCTGTGGCAGCGGGAACGAGGAGCGACAGCCATCAGAGCAGGAGCACCGGCGGGACAGGAGCGGGGACCGGGCCAGGAGCAGGGACCAGAACCGGCACAAGGACCACTCCGACAGAAAGAAGAAGCGCAGTGACAGTCCCGGAGCTCGCTGCCACCAGCGGGACACGCGGAACCTGCGGGAGCAGCAGGCAGAGAGGGAGTTGTACAACGAGAGGAGGCGACAGCACCGGCAGGGCACCGAGGGCAGCGGCCAGAACGCAGAGCCCTGGCAGTCGGAGAGCAAGCCCAAATTAAAACCCGACGCCAACAAGAAGCCAAGCTTTGAGCCGTCGGGCGCGCTGCTGGAGGACACCAACACCGTGGGCGGGGTGCTGGTCCGGTACAGCGAGCCCCCCGAGGCGCGCATCCCCAGGACGCGCTGGCGCCTGTACCCCTTCAAGAAAGACGAGCTCCTGCCCGTGCTGCACATCCACAGGCAGAGCGCCTACCTGCTGGGCCGGCACCGCCGCATCGCCGACATCCCCATCGCCCACCCCTCCTGCTCGCAGCAGCACGCCGTCCTGCAGTACCGCCTGGTGCAGCGGCAGCTGAGACCCTACATCATGGACCTGGGCTCGGGGAACGGCACCTTCCTCAACAACCAGCGCGTCCAGCCACAGCGCTACTACGAGCTGAGGGAGAAGGACGTGCTCAGGTTTGGCTTCAGCAGCAGGGAGTACGTCCTGCTCCACGAATCCTCGGATAAATCTGAGGCCAACGCAAAGGACGAGGATGAGGGTGAGGAGGAGGAAGAGGAAGGAATTGGGGAGGGGCAGAGGAGAGAAACTCCTTGCAATTGAACGGGCCCATAGTACTCTCCAGTCCCTCTTGTTAAAACAAAAAAGGGGATGGGGTATGCCCTCATTAAAGACTGCTAGAAGCCATATATATATATATATATATATATATGTATTAAATTTTTCAATCGTGTTCAGAATGATCTAACCCCATTCCAATGCCATTTCAGTGGATCACACACTCACCTAGAAAAAGCTCAAGTATTTGTTAAGAATCCTGAAAGTGGAAAATGGGAAGGTCCCTTTCCATTAATAACCTAGGGGGAGCATGTGCTTATGGTTCCACAGGTCCTGGTCCACGAAGGGTACCATCTAAGGAAATACTGTATCTTTTAGAAGGGTATAAAAAGAGTTTGCCTTTCCTAATAAATGCCTCAGTTTCTCTGCCAGACTGAGTCCATGCCTCAGTCTGCTCTTGGATAGAAAACAACACTTCATAAGGAGAGCAAATGGATTTTGTTTAGGTTCATCCTTAACCAACAGGAAAGCAATAGGCTGAATTGACTTTGAGCTGAGCTCTGTGCCAGTATAAACCAGTCTAAGGGGGCTGTGGCCTCTGCTGAGTCACACCACATGAGGTACACCAGGACAGTTATGGAGCTGCTCACATCACAAATGACCCCGTAAGGTCTGCTTTTAATACTGTAAATACACATTTCTCCTTCACCATAAGCAGATTTCCAGGTGCTACACTTTGGCATAGACCAGACAGGAAATACATGTGTAAAAGTGAAAGCTTTTCCTGATTGTTTGCACAACCATTTGATTTTCCAGCAACAGTAACAGCCTGATTGCTTCACAACTCCTTCCCTGCCTCCAGCCCTGGGGCAGCAGCACTGCCTCGTGTTCCCATCCCGGGGGAGCAAAGCTGTGCTGCTGCCCTGGCTGTGCTTTGCCAGCACTGCCCAGACTGGCACCAGACATCCCAGCATGGCTCTGGCTCTGCGGGCACAGCACCCACCTGCACACCCAGAGCTGTGGCTGCCACTGCTGCTGGGCAGCAGGAACATCACTGAGAGCAAAAGTCACAATAACCCTTTAAGCTGTGAAATCGTGTCCTTTCCAGAGCATTAGCAAGTCCTGCTTGACTCGCTCTGTAATTAATAAACCTTTTAATTCATCTTGTAGTGCATTTCTCCAGCCAGGACCAGAAAATATGGAATACTGCTGGTTTGAGAAAAGCATCTAAAAAAAAAGGAAATAAATGGAGGGAAGACAGTGCGAGGAGGAAGGTGAGAAGCAACTGGAAAGGATACGAGGATCCTGAGAGGCAGGCATTCAGACAAACATAACTTAAATGGTTCAACTATATATCACTGCAAATAGAGTTCTGACCAAAAATAATAATTACTTTATATATATATATGTATATATTGCTATGTCATTCAGTTCAGCTAAGAGGTTTGAGGTCCTCACGGGGTGGTCCTGCAGCACAGCCCCCAGCTCCTGGAACATTAAGGCTTCTGCTTTGCTGCTTTGGAAGGGAAGGGTGCCGAGGCGAAGGGATCCGCGCCGGGCAGCTCCGTAGTCCTGGCAGACAGCGGGACAAGCGAGACAGAGCCCGCTATGGCCTGCCTGTTGGTCTGAGACACCACCTTGTAAGCAGCTATGGGCTTGGCCTCCAGCCCAGGCCCATCCTCGGGGCCGTAGTGCCGGGAATACTTGGACAGGGACTGCGGACGGAAGGGCTTGTTGGCCACGGAGCCCAGCGCGTCGCCCTGCTCCGGCAGCGCCGCCTTAGCAGGGCTGCTCTCCTGGGCCTCCACGGCTCTGACGGAGCAGGGGTGGAGGTTGCCTGGCTGAGCAAAGCCAGCAGGAGGATGTGGAGCTCTCAGCGAGGCCACGGAGCCGTGTGCTGCTGGATCCAGGAACATCGGCTGAGCTCGGCCGTCGCCCCCTTGGCTCAGGAACACGGGCGGCGTGAACGGCTCCTTGTGGGAAGTCAGCTCTTCCACGCTTCTCTTCTTAGTGAAAGGGGCTCTCAGAAACACATCTGCTTCCTCTGGGTGCCGTAGAGCTGCGCTGCCCTTACAGATAAAAGGAGCTTTGGTAAAGACATCCACTTCATCGGGGACCTTCCTGGAGCTTCGGAAAGGCGCCGTGGCAAACACGTCGGGTTCGTTAAAAACCTCCCCGCTGTGCGACTGGAAGGCCGGGAACAGCGGCTCCCCTGCTCTGGCCTGGGACTGGGGATCCTCCTTGGAGGCCTCGTGCCTGGGCACAGGCTGCAGGAACCCTGGGCACAGCTTGCACGTCTCCTCCTCCTCTTCTGAATCCATCAGTAAAGGCCTGGAGCCGCTGCAATCCAGAATATCTCCCTCGTGGTCTGTCCCCTCTCCTTCGCTGCTGTAGAAGGAGCTGTTGCTTGAAGGACCATCTCTGGCCAGGTACTCTGACTCTGAGTTGTGCTGCACTTTCACCTCCAGCATCTCGGGCTGACCCTTGTACAAGGTGAGTCCATCACTGCCAGGATCTCCCTTACAGAGCTCGAGAGCTGCGGCTGGGAAGCGGCCCGGATCCCTGTGCAGACCTACAAACACAAGAGAAGGGCGTTACTGAAGCAGCTCAGCAATCACAGCGAAGTACACTGCACAGGAACGTCACGCTGCTCAGATGGAAACCACCACCATGCATGGAAAATGGGCAGGAGAGGGAGGGCAAATCAATGAAAAAACAATGCCAGGGAGAAGGTGTTGGCAACACGGCCCGGGGACACCACGGGTGCCACTGCTGAGAGGATGGGAGATGTCTGACACACACACGGGCACGCACAGCACCCTCAGCACCATCCCACCAGGTCTCTCTCCCACCCAGCCCTGACAGCAGCCACCAGCACAGAGTGTTTCCCTTCCCAACGCTGCTGCCCGAGGGAAGCTCCAGCAGACAGACAAGTTCTGTCCTTCCAGCTGCTCCCCAAGCACATCTATTGCTTGGCCTGGCCTCTCTTCCTGTGGGCCAGCCCACAGATAGGTGGAATTGCTTGTGGAACACGTGGGGATGCCCCAAAACCTGCTAAAATAACAGGCCCATTTCAAAGACTGAAGGTCAGCTTACAGCTTTTAGTGAATCCTAAGTAGCAGCTATTTTAGTAGCAGCTATTCTTTTTTAAAGCACTGCCAGACAAATGGTTTTTAAACACTCCAAGAGCCACCGGGAGGCCGGGTTTGCCTTAGGACTCACACAGACAAAACAGAAGATCTCTTACCTTCACAGAACTACTGGCAGCTTAGAAGTGTCATTGGACTCGTTAGCAAGAGGATAGGAGAAAATCACATGAAAACTAAAACAGCAGGAATTGCAGGAAGAACGAGGAGGGTGAGGAGGCTGGTTGGTACCCAGGCTCAGCAAGGCACCAACCAGAACACCCTGCAGTGCCAGGACCTCACCCAGGGAAAACTCTGCCCAGGTTAACTGTTCATGTTTACCATCACAGCCCTGGGGCACCAGAGACACAAAACATCCCCTTCTCCATCACTGCTCACAAGTAAAGACACAGCAGCCATTCATGAAGCATCAGAACCAGCATTTATTGGGAACTCTTCACCTGGATACATCACACTGCTAAATAAAGACAGCGCAGGTATGAGCACATGGGACCAGTCACTCCACCAAAATCCCCTCTCTCTCCTGCAGCCCGTGCTGTGCACACTGGTTTTCCCTCAGGGGCCACTCTGGGATGCCAGGAGCAGCAGAGCTCCTGGGGGCTGGTGGTCCCACCCTGGCCAGGGGTCACTGACAGGCTGAGCCAGAGCAGGACCAGCTGCCACACCACAGAAACACCTCTGGATCCACCCTGATCCAGGGAAAAAGGCATTCAGCACAAGAGCAGGGTCAGACACAGCAAGGGCCCACTCTGCACAGGAACAGCACAGCTGGGTGGAACCTCCTTTCTAACTTGTGCAGGCCTGTGCCCACCAAGCCATGACATCTGGGACAGGGTAAGAGGGAGGACAGCATCTGGAGCCATCTGCTCAGCAGCACGCAGCTCTGAATGTGGGGACCCTGCACAAGAAGCAGAATGCCCTGTTCTGGGAAAAATTCCTTTTTCTGATGTTGTCTCTGCCCACTCATGTGAGAAGGGCACCAAATGCTCAGCAGCAGTTTTCTGCTGCACAACACCAGTGTGGGTAATATTTGATTCCAGGGTCAGACATACACACTGAAGAAGATTTCAAACTATACTCAGGCTCTTTTTCAAGAGGGAGAACATTAAAAAAACCCTCAGATCACTCAATACCCCAGGAACACACTCTGCAGGTATTCAGACAGCAACCTGAAAGAGCTTTAGCCCAGGTGACAGCCCTGGCACCTGGAGTTTCCTCAGCTTCCAAGGAAAACAGTGCCCTGGAGTGGCAGAGTACTGAAATAACAAAGAGGAAGACTAGAAAAGATTTACTCCCTATAAACAAGAGGCAGAGCAGTCACCACAGTGGTGAGGATCTCACTTCTGGAGCAGAGCCCAAAAAAAAGGTGAGAGGAGACAGAGAAACTCCTGGAGTCTAAAGCTCCCCTTCCACCAGGAAACTCTCCTGATTTCATCAAGCCAAAGCCAGGCAGGACTCAACATCCAGGAACAGGGAGCTAAAGATCAGCACAGTTACCAGTGTGCAGTTACTAGTTTGGAATTTTACAGGGGTCAAAGGCTTATCACTCCTTCATTCTTGCACTGTGCAGGTTTTCCTTGTACTCCAGTTCCTAGAAGCAAACTGTTCCAGTGTCTAGAAGCAATCCCATGAAACAACAGTCCAGAACTACCCCCACCCAGCACTTCCAGCAAGGAGGAACAGCACAGCCACAAAGGTCAGGGACACCTGCACAATTTGCAGGATCGAGTGTTTGCTCAGAGCCACTCGCAGTGGGAGACCTGGAGGCAGATCCAGAGCCTTCAGTTCCAGAGGATGAGCAATTGAATGCTGCAGTTCTGCCACACCTGCACAGCCACCTGCACCTGGCAGGAGCTCAGCACACCAACCCACACCCCAGCAGCTCATGAACAGCCTGACCCCTGCACACCAGGAGAATCCTCATTCTGGGAGATGTCCCCAGAGCAGGGATGTCCCCAGAACAAGCCCAGCCAGCAGCCCCTCCTGGCTCCCCAGGGCCAGCACAGTGAGTGAATTTTCAAACAAGGTGGTTTTTGCACAGCTTTTAGGCCAAAGAACACCACTATTGCTCCTTTACAAGAAGCTCCCTCTAGGAATGATTTTGCTCCACACAGATTGGCTCAAGCTGCCCCGGCCTGTGATGGGTGGGCTGGAGGAGGATGCAGATCTGCCACAAAGCCAGGATTCTCCCGCTGTCCCAGCAGCTTGCACAGCACCTGAAGCCCTGGCCAAGGAGGTCCCAAGGGATCCTGAGAAGACTTGGACAGTCCAAAGCCATGGAGCTGCCCCTTCTGTTTTGGGACAGATGCTCCCAACACAGTGGATGGTGTCAGAAATGACTGAACTCCTCTGGTTAAAGAGGAACAGGAGGTTTCCAAGGGCAGGGGCCCTTCCCAGCCTGAGCCCCTCAGAGTAAGCAAGAACAACACCAAAATTCCAACCATTCCTTTGAACCTCTGCCACCCAAACCCAGAGTTTGTTCCTGCACCCAAAGCACGACCCTGAGGTGAAGGGAAATGGCTCCACGTGCTGTGGTTGTGTTTGACCCTGCCAGGAGATCCAGAACAGGCACTGGCAGCTCCAGCCACGAGGGCACTGCCATGGGCAGAGCACCCAGCCCTGCTGGGGTGGCACTGAACAGCTCCTGAGCCCAGAGCCCTTCAGAGGGCACAGGAACCTCCCCGGGCTCCAGCACTGATTCTCAGCCCCCCAGGGGACACCAAACGTGTCCTAAGGGGCACAGGGGGAAGTTCTCACACAAGCTCCTCAGTTCTGAGCAGCAGCAGCACCAACCAGAGCCGTGGGACACTCACAGTTTCTGGAGAGGTTAAAATGAATCCCCAAACTCCACTCATCTCTCAGTTCCATTCGCTCTGCAAGCACAGGGTGAGCATTTTCTGATGAAGGAGGTCTAAGAACACTCTAAAAGATCAGATTTCCACCCACACCCATGAACAGCTACTTGAAAAAGCAATAAAATAAACATTCACATCTGCTTATTTAATAGCATTATTAACAACCCAGTGCATTTGTCATTTTTTTTCCAGAACCCTTGAACAAGCGCCATTAGATTTAAAATCTTAAACATTCTTTAAAAGTACTTTAATTCACAGAAATCTTTGTTTCTAATATACAGTAGATGGTTACTTTTTAAAATCCATTCTCTTTTCATATAATCTCAGTATCTGACTATACAATAACTTTCTATCTATAGCATCTTCGTGTTTTCCAGTCCAGCTCGCCTGTGCTTTAGGAATATAAAACAAAAAAATAATAAAGTTCTATCCACAATTTTACTAAGGTCATTTCCATAGTTCTCATGTAAAGCTTCTCCTGGAAAGTGCAGTATACACATGTAATGATACAACACACGTAAGCAATACTTTTATTAGTAAGTGTAGGTTTTAAAAGAAGAGTAATGTAGAGACACAACCGATGGGAGCTCTATGTACAGAATTTGTTAAACTAAGTGTTGGGCTGGGGAGGAGATGGAGAGAGGAGAGGAGGAGTCACAAACTTGGGGTTCTTCCCAGCGAGGTCAGCACAGACATTCAGTCGCTCGCACTTTCGCACGTGGGAACTGCACTGGTACTAATACAGCTACAAACACAAACACGGGGAGCAGGAAGCTGGGGAGAATTCCACTACAGAGGAAGAGTCCTTCTGCTCAGAGAGGGCTTTCAAACACGAGATAGAAATTCCAGGCTTCGTGGTAAGCCAAGGAGAACGAGCTGAGCGGATCCAGCTACGGACAAACCAAGCGAGAGGGGGAAGGAAAAGGGAGAACCCATCGAGTTGTAGCAGCACTGATTTCAAACCACCTGAACCCAGGGCATGCGTGGTCACAGAGACTGGGGTGGAGAAAGGCCCACAGGAATCTTTGTCTACTGAAACAATGGCTCCATACTGAACTGGGGTGCACTATAGCAGTTACAAGAGAAAATGGAGAACCCAGAACAGATACCAGATGCTTGACTAAAACCAGGATTAAAAATAGACAAACAGCCGTAGGACAATTTGTTTCATACACCATTTACAGTAGGTTGAGGGGATTTTCTTTTTTTTCCAGTCAAACACAGAAAAGAAGTCACAGAAAATACATCTGCTGCTGCCCTTTTCACCCCAAAAAAGGTCAGTGAAACACTAGTCACAGCCATACTCACATGGATTTGGTTCAAAACCTTGTCACGCTTCACTTAGGGTCATTTCTGCAGCTTTAACAATCTGGTTTTTTTCTTTTTCCTTTTCTCTGTTTTCCCTCCCCCAGGAAGTGCAGTTTGTTTCCAGCAGGATTGTCAAACAGCAAACCATGATCTGGGGGCAGCTGGAAAACTCTTCACGTGCACCATCACCAGAGTATGGCCGGGAGGAACTCGGGGCTTCCTCCTCCTCTGAAGCAATTCAGAGCCACCAGCTCTCCTACCCCGTGTCCTGCAGCTGAGGGATGTCCCTGCCACTGTCCCCTGGCCCCTGCTCCTGCCCAGCCCTGGGGGAACAGAACCAGAAGCAGAAGCAGAGCCCAAACAAAAAAGCAAAGGTGGGGCCGCGCTGCTCACGCCCTGCCCCGGGGACAGGAGGTGGGGCAGGGTCCCAGAGCAGCCCCAGCTCCCTGAGCAGGGCCAGGGGGGTCTGCAGGGTGCTCCCCTGGACACAGCCATGGGACAGGGCAGAGGGAACCCCCAGGGCTCTACCAGCCTGAGAGAGGCCAGGCTGCCTGGAGAACTGAGCCAGAACCTTCCCCAGGGCACAGCAAGACAGGGAGAGAGGTGGGTGACAGTCTCCTGTTGGCAAATTTTTTCTCTTAATTAAAGGAGAAAAAAGAAAAACAAAAAGAAACAAAAAAGCCCCAAAGAAGCACAAGGAAGGAAACTCTTCTGGCAAGGAAACCGGAGGTGTGGGTACAGAAACTGCATCTGCTACTGTGTCACTGCTACAGGTCTATGAGCTGATCCACCAGCAGCAGAGACCTGGCTATGTTGGGAAGACTGGACTCAGAGCTTCCACTGTTGTTTCTAGAATGCCCACCTGAAAGCGTGAGAGATAGGAGTTCAGTATTGAGCAGGACACACACACGCACGACAGTTTCAGAAGTTCAAGATCAAGAAAGAAAGAAAGAAAAACAAAAAGTCAAAGCAAAACAGAATTTGTTCAAGCTCTTCTTGTTATTTGTATCATCACTACAGCAATGAATCCCCTGCTTGCTGCTCACCCTCTCCCCCCAAACCAAAGCAGCACAGCAAATCCCTACAAACCCATTCTTTGCAACCCTGTCCTTGCTAAGGGATCTCTAAAACAAATTCAAGGACTCCCACAGCCCAGAGAAAGGACAGGTCAGAATTTTGAATCTTGAAATCTCTTTTAGGAGAACCTTTGGGTGCTCTCAGCTGCTTCCAGGAGAACTGGGCTATCATGGGACTGGGACACTAAAGGAGAGACCCACAGAATGGATTGGGCTGGAAAGGACCTTAAAGTCCACCTGGTTCCAGCCCCCAAGGGGGCTTATCTTGGCCCAGCCTTGGGAGAAATCCCTGACTTCCAGAGGAGTTTGTAATGCCTGAACTGCTCCTAATGAGTGTCAGCCTCTGAAAGCCAAGCCTAGTGCAGAGCAGGGCTCAGGACATTCCTGCTCAGACCAAAAATGGGAGTGAGGGAAGCCAAAGGATTCTGTGACCACACTGGAGAAGAAAAAAAAAAAAAAAAGGCAAAAAAGCCTTAAAAAAAGTCCTGGATTTGTCTTTACACCTCCCCAAGTACATCAAAGCTGCAATCACAAAATCCTTGCAGTGGGGACTGATCCTTCCCTGGCCAGGAGTGAAGCCCTGCCTGCTGCTGTCCCTGGAGAGCTGAAAACCACAGCTGAGCTGCTGTAAACCCAGCAGTGCCCTGGCTCCTGCTGGCAGAGATCTCCCCAGGAGGATCTGGGGCCAGGATAATGAAATGAGCAGCTGCCCCCTCACTGTCCTACAGGCTCAGCCTGCCCAGAGCTCCTCAAGGAGGTGGGACAGGGAGCAGACTTCTAGTATTTCACAGATTGGAACCAGCCACATGTGCTGCAGCACCACTGCCCCAGAACTAATTTATATATCCATTGTTTGCCTTTTTTCTTTCCCTTTTTCACTCCCACATCCTGGCTTACCTTGTGAATTTTTGGATATCAACACTGGAATTGGGTCAAACTCATCTTCTGTCACTTTTTCAGAGCCCTCAGGAGCATCAAAGCCTGATATCAGGTTAGTATCTTCTGCAGCATAGGAGAGAAATAAGGGTAAAGAAGCAAAGACAGCAGAGAGGCTGGTTAGAATTGCCAGGAAGTGTTAGAACATCTTAATGTTTTCAGAGACAGCACTTAGCAGCAGGAGTTTTTATTTAAAAGGTGAAATGAAGTTGGTAAGTCTGGGCAGGAAAGAAGAGAGGCAATGAAATACAGAAGTGGAGGGGATCAAACCAAACCAAGCAAGACCCAGAACAAAACCTGACCAGTCTGAAGGCTCAGCTGGACAGCTGGAGCTGTGGCAGAGGCCTGGGTAAGCTCCCAAGGACTGAAGGTGTTCTTGGTCATGAGCATGGTGTGAGAGCTCAGGCTGCCTCTCTGGCTCTCATGCACAGGGAGAGGAAAAGGGCTGGGGGAAAAAAACAAACCACAGAAGAAATTCCAGTCATCGACATGAGACAAACCCCTGAGCTTTCACCCACAGCAGTAAAACAAGAAGGGCAGCATGAAGTCAGATTTCCAGGGAGTTTACCTGCCTGCAGAGTGCTGGGAGAGGTTTTCTAGAGGCCCCTAGGGCAGTTCTGGGAGATAATTCCACTGATTTCAAACCACATCAGCTGCAGTTCAACACGGGGGAGAGGCACTCTCAACCATCTCCAGAGATGAGATGATTTATCCACCTCATCAGGCAATTATGTATTTTCAGAGTCTCTCACACTCCCTGGCCATCACTACTTGTTCCTTCAGATGCCTCAAATACCCTCCCAAATCTGCTCCTCAGCTCCTGTATGAAATGTTTCTGAAAGCCCAGCAAGGACACATCAACCCAACAGTTTCCATGAACAGAACATTCCTGTCTGACTCCTGCTGGGAATAAAAGATTTTCCTCTAAAGCTGACCAAGACTGAACAGGTTTGGGGAGAGGTGAGGCAAGAAAGCACTGGTGGAACTGCTCTGGGGGATCAGACCCAGGGAAAACAACCCCAAAATGCTGTAGGAGAGCAGTGCAAGTGTCACACACACACAGGTCCATCTGAACAGGAACTGTCACTGCCACCTCTCTGTCCCCAGTTATTTATTTGTGCCTCTTCCACCACCCTGGGAGCTCCTACAAGGTTCCCACTGCCATGGCATTTCTGCAAGGGTCCCATTGCCATGGCATTTCTGCAAGGGTCCCACTGCCATGGCATTTCTGCCCCCAGCTGCAGAGGCTGCTGCAGGAGCAGTGGCCAGCCCTGAGGACAGGGACAGGCTGGCCAATGTCACACAGCCCCTCAGTGACTTGTGCCCCACCAAGCAGAAACATCCTGAGTTCTGCAAATGCAGGTTCAGGGACCCTGAAGGCTCAGTACCAATTTCAGGGCCAGCAAAGGACAAGGAAAGGCTGCAGTGGCAGGGCTGAAAGATCAGCCTCAGAGCACAGATCCCACTGATAAAAGGTCACAGCAGGGCTGCCTTTCCATGATCCCACTGATAAAGGGTCAGAGCAGGGCTGCCTTTCCATGATCCCACTGATAAAGGGTCACAGCAGGGCTGCCTTTCCATGATCCCACTGATAAGAGCAGGGCTGCCTTTCCATGATCCCACTGATAAGAGCAGGGCTGCCTTTCCATGATCCCACTGATAAGAGCAGGGCTGCCTTTCCAGCCCTCCTGGTCCCACTGGGCCAGGAGACTGCAGCTCCACAGGCTGATGACACCCAAGGACAGCAGCATCTGTCCCAGGGGAGTTTTAGATCATCACCAGCACCAGGACTGGATAAACTAAGCCAAAAATAAAGAGTGAGTCTGATGTTTAGTTATAACCACACCCAGAGCTAAAAGTGAGGTTTGAAAAGAAGCCATCAATGAGTTCTGGAAGATTTCAGCACCTTGTCCCAACCCCTGGTACCAGAGTCTCACCTTCCCATCCCAGAGGGAACAGCAGGACAGCCCTGGCAGGGCCATGCAGTAAATTCATTTTCTCATTCAGCCACAGCAGCACACCTGGGCTTTGCTGTGCCCCAGGATGGAGCAGTAAGTGCTCCACACACACTGCAGTGCAAAGTGAAGTGGCACAGGGGTGGATCACAGCCCTGAGCAATTAGAATGACTGCCTGTTTAACCCAAAAGCTCTGTGGAAAGCACAAACTCATTCTGAAATGCCATCAAGTGTAAAAATTGATTCCAGGCTGTTTTTGCAGCAATTCCTCCGAGGCCAGAGCATTTCTGTTGCTATAGGGACACTCACCAAGTGAGCAAAGCACCCCCCAGCTCTGAGGGGCACCAGGAATCAGCTCTGCTGCTCTGGGCCTCTCTTTCAGGGCAATAAACAGCCCAGGAGCCCTGCCCCCCCCCTCAGGCTCCCATTCACAGCTGGACTCAAGAACTTCTCCTGATAAGGACAATGTTCTCTGGGGCTGGAAGAGCTCATCTGCCTGGGATGCTAACTGCAACAAACCACAGAAAATTCCTTTTGCTCCAAAACCTTGTGACAGATGATTATCAGGCTCCCTTCTGGAATTAATAATGCACAAAAACCACCAGTTTCAAATGCCACGTGGAAAAAGCAAACCCAGGATGCATTCAGTGAGGAAGGTCTGCACGCAGAGCCCACCCTTCCTGCCTGATCCCACCCCATGGAAAACAACTCCACTTTGGACAAACTCTGTCTTTACACTCAAGCTGAATAATTGGGGTTTTTTTCCTCCCTCAGTACATCAGTGCACATTCCAAGTTTGAGCAGCTTGGGAAGAAAACAGAGCAGTGGCTTGGGGACAATAAAACACCAGAACAGGTCAGAGCACGTGTGTCTGTAAAGCAGGGCTCAGAGCAAGAGGGCCAGTTTACCTTTGTGAGGCTGAGCTGTGAAAGCTACAGGAGCAAACTCATCCACGAGGTCAGCAGCAGGGTTAGAGAGCAGAGAACAGTCAAGCAGAGAGTCTTCCCCAGTGAGAGAGTCTGGATCCAGGTGAGCATCCCAGGGTGGCATTGGACAGGACACAAACAGTGTTAAGCTCTCGTTGTCACATCCCCCTCACCCACAGGCAGGGGGGGAGCACAGCTCTGGGGCAAAGCCAGCACAAAAACTGCTCTTCCCTGAGATGGAGGAGATCCCACTGCTCTCAGGGAGGGCACAGAGCCCCAGCACCTCCAGCAGGGCTTTCTGTCCCTCTGAAGCTGAGCAAAGAACCCCACAGAGCCAGGTGAAGGGCAGAGAGAGGAGCTGCAAGGCCAGGGCACTCCCAGCAGACACCTCTGAGAAGAGCTCGAGTCCACTTGCTGTGGGAAGTGGCCCAACCAAGGCTGCGGGAGCAGAAAGGGCCAGGAGCTGCTTTGTGCCCCCCTGGGACATTCAGGGACTGCTCCTGAGCTCTGAACCACTCCATGGAGCAATGCAGCAGCACCTGCAGCTCTGGGAGGGTGGGCTCAGGGAGCACTACCACAGACCCACAGAACCTCCTGAGTGGGAAGGACACACAAGGATCAGAGCCCAGCTCCTGGCCCTGCACAGACACCCCAAAACCCCACCCTGGCCATCCCTGGGAGCTGTGGCCAAAGGCTCCTGCAGCTCTGGCAGCCTCGTGCCCATTTCCCTTAGGGAAAGAACCTTCTCCAGCCCCCCCGAGGAGAGCAGAAGCCCCAGAGCAGCCCCTGAGGGAGCAGCCAGAGCTCCCTGAGCCCCCAGCCCCAGCGCCTGACCAACCTGTCCTGGTGGAGGCCACGGACTCGCTGTGGGACACGAGGCGCTGGGCCAGAGGGGCCTCCAGCCCCGGGATCAGGCTCTCCACAGCCACAGCAGCTTTGCCTTTCCACGGGGCACACCAGAAGCCAGAGGTTAGTTTGCAAGGAAAAGCAGAAGGAAACTGAGGCAGGAGTTGTCTGAATCTTTTACTGACGCTGTAGTGAGTGTCAGCTCGAGGGTTTGGTTGGTTTTGAACTCTGGTTTCAGCTTTTGTTCGTTTTGATTTGTACAAGCCCAAATTTGAAACAGCCAGAGAATGGAACAGCAGGTTGGTAACACCTGCCCTGCAGCTGAACAGGAAGGAAATATCCACGAGATCCTTGTCCAGCAAAAGGAAAGCAGTGACCACTGGAGTCCCCTTGCATTCAGCGTAACTGATCATTAAAATTCAGACAACTGCCAGAAACTGCCAAGGTAGAGGGAGTTTTAATATGACAAGGAGTGATGTCCTTCCTTTCTGTCAGAGGCACAGGGCACACCCAGCAGGCCCCACCCCACAGCAGCACAACCTGCAGCCTGCACTCACTGTGTGCAGAGCACCTGGCAGTAAATCACAATTCTGCAGCACCCAGAGCCCTGACCTGCCTGGAGCCTGCTGCAGCCCACCTTCATCCCCAGCACTCCCCAGCTCCTCATCCTCCCCTGCCTCCTCATCCTGCTGAGGCCACGGTGTCTGCCTGGGCCAGACACCAACTCTGGACCACAAATAAAGGTATTTTCACCATCCTCTTCAATCAGCAATTACCTTTCTCCTCCCAAGAGAACACCCAAGGCCCAGCAGTGCCACTGGCAGAGCAGAGCAGAGCAGCCACCAACTCCCCCTGCTCAGTGCCCACCCCATGGGGAAAAGGCAGCTCAGCCTCAGCACCACCCAGGGGCTGCTCTGGGAGCCAGGGGAGCATGCAGGGGGCACGGGGGGCACGGGGGGCAGTTACCATTGGCAGTGTCTGCCGTGCTGCCGAAGGGGTCAGCCAGAGGCAGCAGCTCGGGGAGCAGCAGAGCAGGCTCGGGAGATTTGAGGCCCTCAATCAGTTTTTCTGGGGCAAGCAGGAAAAGGAGGAAAGGAGGCAACAGAGAGAAAAGCAGAAGAAAGAAGAAGACACCATTAATGAGGAGCTCAGCTCAGGGCTGTGCTGTGTGAGAGCCCCAGGGCAGCACCTGCAGCACGGGTGGGAAATGGCTCCAGCACAGAACCCTGAGTGCCCCGGGCTGCACAGGAGCTGCCAGAGCTCAGCCACCCCTGCCATGCCAGGGACACCTCCCAGAGCCTTGGGCACTGCCAGGGATCCAGGGGCAGCCACAGCTGCTCAGTGCCAGGGCCTCACCTGCTTCACTGCAGAAATTCTCTCTTGAAGCTAAACCCACCTCCATCCCCTGCCCCATCACAACAGGCCCTGCCATGAAGTTTGTCCCCCAGCATCACTCAGGGCCATCAGAAGAGCCACCCAAGAGAGGTGAGGACATCCTCACCCACCCAGGGAGCCACTGCAGAACAGCCCACAGCTCTGCCACTGCCAGAGGTTTTACAGATCTATTTTTATATATATGCAGATATAAGCACACAGATTCTGGGAACAACCATGGTGCTCTCCCCACGGGTTCATTTTCCCTCCTGCCCCAGGGCACAGCTGGTTTTATGCACAGCTTTAGGCTCTCAGTGGTTCTTTGCCTGATTTTGTCTCTTGTCCCACGAGATCTCCTCTCCTGCCTCCTTCAGGGCTGGTGCTGACCTGCCAGTCCTGCTCCAGCAGCCACTGCACCCCTCAGTGCACGGTTTAAAGGAACTTTTTCCCCCTTTCAGTGAGGCTGAGGAGTCCAACACAAACAAGAAGGAGTCAGGATGAACGGGGAAGGAGATGAGTGCCTCAAACCCAACAAACAAACCCAGATCGTTCCTGTGCAGACACGTCAACAAGCCCCAGGATGAACAAGGTTAAGAAGAGGTGACCCCTCACAGAGGTATTTCACCTCCTACAGCTCCTGAAGGCTCTCAGGGTGGGTCTCCATCAATTCCAGCTGGGCAGTGAGTGTTTTACCCAGTCCCTGTGCTCCCACTTGAAGCTGCTGCCTCTGGAGACCTCCTCCTCCTCAGTCAGCCTGTGCAAAACCTGCCAGCTGCTTTCCAGCTCAGGGAGGTGAGGCTGGCCCAGCTCAGGGTGAGCTGGCTGCTGCTGTTTCAGTTTCTCTTGGGTTTTCTGCTCTGCCCCACTGCAGCCAGGGCAGGTCTGCTGGGGCTGGGCAGCAGCCAGGGAGACCATGGCCAGCTTTTAGAAAGGGTCTGAGCTTAAAAGCACAGAGGGGGATTAAAAAGTGCCCTCCCAGCCCCTTGCTGAGGTAGAACCAGCCACACACTGCAGCCTTTAAGATTTGTCAAGTTCTCTGTTCCTCACAGTAAGAAATTACTGATTGTTTCCTGTCAGAGCAAGGAAAACAGCTGCAGAAGGAGCAGAGCAAGAGCCTGCAGCTGATGGGTCTTGGAGCATCCCCAAGAGGCTGATGGTGGCTCCAGAGCCTGAAAACCAAACCACTTCCTCCAGGAATGAAAGCAAGAGCCTCTCCTCTGCTTTGCACCAGCACAAGGAGGAGGTGCAGCCACTGAATTAACTCTGGGTTTGTACCTTGGGACGAGCAAAGAGGCCAAACCCCATCATGCACTGGCTGAGAAGCACAGCTCTGGGCAATCCAGTGACAGTGCTGCCCTTTCCTCCAGACCCCTCTTCCCACACATGCACACACCTGATGGAGTTCACAGTCAGCCAGTTTGCTCAGACTTTGAGCAAATTGACTTTCAACACCACTGCCAGAGATTCTGCTGCCATGCTGTTTTTACTGCTGGCCACACACCCCTTCAGCCACAAATACTCAGAAAGCATTTTAGGAAACACCAGAGTTAGGGAAAAACACCAATCGAGGTAATATCAATCATATCAATATCAAAAATATCAATCAAGAGATGAGAGAGGCAAAGGGGCTTGGGGGTTAGAGCAGGCTATTAGAAAGAACAGGGACTCCTGAAAACTTGCAAGTTAAAAGAGAGCAGAGGGCAGAGCTGTGTGCCAAGGTGAGGACACAGTGCCCAGCAGGCACGTGGCCAAGGCAGGAGGGGCACACACAGGGCTGGTACTCACTGCAGGGCTGGCACCCACTGCAGGGCTGCCCTGGACAGCACTCACAGCTCAGCAGAGCACACAGCAGAGTCCTTTCCTCCGGGGGCCAGCTGGGAGAGAGAGACACGGCGCTGAAAATCCTGCAGGGACATCACCAGCCGGGCAGGGATCTGGCACACGCACAGCTGGGCAGGGATCTGGCACAGCTGGGCAGGGATCCCTCACTGAGGAGGGGTTCTGCCTACTGACTGATGAAGGTTTAGCAGGTTATAACAGCCCTGCATGGTGTTCAGTGCATGGTGCTCCCTGCATTAGGCCAGGGAAGGCACTGCACTCCCATTTATAAACTCTCCATTAATAAATTTATAAATTTATCAATGGGATTTACTCCACAATCCTGTTTATTCCCACTGCCCTGCTGAAATGGGATTGGTTCTCACACAACAGGAGCAGGAAGAGAAGGGGAATAAATGGAATCAGGACTCTGCAAACACCACAGGGGTAACACTCAACAGTTGTGGATGTGGCAGCCTGCTCAGAGAGGGAAAGCTAGAAAAGCTTTCCCAGAACTGGCCTGGGAGACTTTAGGGAGCTGGAGATAAACAATGAGAGCCAATTATGATAAACAACCTGTAGGTGTTGTTTCTCTAATATCTGTTTTCTTGTTACTCTCAGAAAATTGTTTAAAAATTGGTGTCTTGTTAATTCTTCAATCAGGTGAAATGAATTGATGAAATGACCAATCATCTGTTAATTCTTCAATCAGAAATGAACTGATTAAATGACCAATCAGGCCCACCTGTCTCAGACCAGTGTTTAAAAGAAGTGGCTCAGTAAAGACTGAGGCACTTGGGCCACTCAGCCTCTGATGATTCAGTGGCATTTCTTTTTAAACAGTGACAAACAGTGGCTCCTGAAGACAGCAAAACCAAGCAATTTCAGTTCCACGTTCAAGACCTCAAATATTTGTAAAATAGTAAATTCTCCCCCTTAAGATCAAACTGAAAGCCAGACTGGATGCTCTTTACACTCATTTATCTGGGATTCTCATGGTCTGCTGGCTTTGTTGCTTTAAATCATCACACCTCCAGCTTGTCCTCTCAGTAAATACAGCAATAAATCCATCAGGTTCCCACATGAGCAGTTGCCCTTTTGCATCTTCCCAACTCAAGATGTGAACTCAGCTCATTAGTGCACACCCACAGCTGCTGTGCATGCCTAATTGTGCATGTGCAATTACTTTATCTCAATGTGTCATCTTGGTGCAAATAAATCCTCAGCAGCAATCCAGTTGTTTATTACAGCTGTGACAAACACCCAGGCATAGCTGGGCACCCAGTTATCTGCTCAGAATTTATGGGCCTGCAGTAGAGTTATGGTGATTAAAAACATCTCATCCAGTGTTTTGTTCCCCCCAAAAAAAATAAAATATCCTCCTACATCAGCCAGAGTGACCCACAGAGAGTTCCCCTGACCAACCCCAGGATTAGTCAGTGGTGAAGCCTGAAATAAGCTCATTAAGAACAACTTGGCTCATTTTCCTGCACATACACAAGGAAATATGTTTTCAACATGAATATTTAATTCTCCCTTATTTTAACAGATGTTTTGCCATATTTTCACATCCCTCTTGCCAGCTCCTCTTCCTAGTTACAATTCCATTAAGAACTGCAGCCCTTACACAGGGGAGGAGGAGGAGGAGGAGGGACACACTGACACCACCCACTGCACCTGGGCTCTGCAAGGTCCTGAAGGCCCTCAGGTGATGCCACCTGCTCCTCCAGGTGCCAGGGGGGGGAGGTTTGAGCTGAGCTTTACCCAGGTGAAAACCTGAGCTCAACTCCAGAAGTTTGATCTTTTCTGCTGAATTTACAAGCAGACAAACCCCCTCAGTTTCAAAGCTACTGCTCTGTAGCCCTAGTCCTTGGAAATATTCATGAGCTTCTGGCCTCAGGTTTCACTTTAAAACAAACAAACACAGGAAATTGTCTTTTTTGGGTGCTCCAAAGCATCAGTGACCCAGAGCCTGGGCTAAGGACAAGGATGGAGTTGTGCTCTGGGGCTCACTGGTGTGGGACCTGTCACACACCTTCACAGAGGGCTGAGAGAGGATAAAAACATCCCCATATTCCAAATCCCACCGATTTGCAAATAAGCTCCTAAGCACTTACATAATCTGTGCTAAAAAGTGTTGGCTGCTGCAGTCAGAAATGTGCACAGAAAAGGCTTAGAAGCAGCACTGCAAAGTAAGTGAAATAGCACCAACTGTACTGGAAAATCTTGCCAAATCAGAAAAGGTCACATGTAACTTGTGCTTCACAAGATGCTCAGATTTGCAACAGACTTTGGAAGCCAAAGAAACACTGACTCTTAGAGGAAAGAAAGATTAACAATAATAAAACCTACAATTTCAAGGTTGGAAGCCATTTCAAAACAGCTTAAATCAGAACAGGTAATTAATCACCTGGGGGTTATTCCTCATAGAATCCTGGAATGGTGTGTGTTGGGAGGGACCTTAAAGCCCATTCCACCCCACCCCTGCCATGGCAGGGACACCTCCCACTGTCCCAGGTGCTCCCAGCCCTGTCCAGCCTGGCCTTGGGCACTGACAGGGATCCAGGGGCAGCCACAGCTGCTCTGGGAATTCCATCCCAGCCCCTCCCCATCCTGCCAGGGAACAATTCCCAATTCCCAATCTCCCATCCAGCCCTGCCCTCTGGCAGTGGGAGCCATTCCCTGTGTCTGTCCCTCCATCCCTTGTCCCCAGCTCTCCTGGAGCCTCCTCTGCTGCAGACTGAACAACCCCAGCTCTCTCAGCTTTCCCTCCTAGGAGAGGTGCTCCAGCCCTCCCATCACTTTTGGTTTTGAGTGCTGAGCTTCCAAAGACACCCACCCACATTTGTGGCATTAGGAACAAGGAGATCACCCCATGAAAACCATCCCCAGTGCCAGTGAGCCCAGCAGAGCCTGGCAGTGCCCAGGATTTCAGGTGTGCCTGAACAGAAGCAGAGGATTCAGAGGCCAAAACAAAGGCCAGGACTCTGCCCCCCTCCTCCCCCCAGCTCAGGTTACCTGGGGTGTCAGATAACGGGAGAGGAATGAAAGGATCAGGCACAGTCAGAAGAGGAGGGCTAGAGTCCAAACTCAGAATGTCTTTCGTTTTTTCAGCTGGTAGAGAAGAGGAAAGGAAAAGAAAAGAAAAGGCAGAGTGAACAGAGAAAAGGAGGAAGCACAGAACAAAACCCCAGCACAGGCACAGCCCCAGCTGTGGCCTGACACAACCACACACAGGCACATTCTGACCAAGTGTGCTACTAAAAAGGATAAAAACCCAAATAAAATGACTGCCACCATGCAGCTCTCCAACACAATTTGACCCACAGATCTCAGAACATTCCCTGGCAGGGAGGAACTGTTATCTACCTTCACAGCAGCACAAAAGGTGAAAGGTTTCACAAAGGACACACAGTCTGCAATAAAATCTGCAGCACTTTGCACCAGCCAGGCTGGGACAGGTTCCTGTCTCTCAGAAAGAAAGAGAAGGGCTGGAAGTGCCCAGCCCCAAGACACCTTCCTGTGCCAAGCCCCAGGACTGGGAAGTCAAGGGGCACATTTTGAAGACAGACACTGCAGGAACTGACCAGGGTACAGCAACCACAGAGCCCAGGGCACACAGATGCACCTCAGGCTTTGCAGAAGGTGCTTTACAGCTCAACGTGGAGCTGCTGCTGCTCAGCATCATCCACAAAGGCTGATGGAACACCAGAAACTGCTCACAGCTGGACAAACCCAGAAAGCAGCTCCCCAGGAGCACTCCTGTGCCAGGGACTTCAACTCCTTAATTCTCTGGTAAGAACCAACACACCAGGCTCAGTTATAAGCTTTCCTAAATCTCCTTTTATAAATAGAAATAAGCACAAATGGATTTGTCACTCTTTGCCCCACAAAGGCTTCTTCAGCCTCTTCCCAGACTCCTCTCACCAAGAGTTGTTTTGTTTCTGTGGGGAGGCATCAGCCAGGAGCATTTGTCACCAGGGGGAGGATCCCTGGCTTCTGGAGCTGCTGGAAGCAGCTCTGCACCTCTGTGCTTGGCAGGTCTGAGCTGCCCCAGTGAGAACTGAGGCTGAAGGAGCAGAAATGAGCACTCACCAAGGGTCTTTGGCACAGAAGGGGCTGCTCACAGCAAAACCTTGGGACACAAGGACCAGAGGAGAACCAGACAAGGTCCCACAGGCAGAGAAACTCCTCAGACCAGCCAAGGTGGAGCCACACAGCCCAGCCAGTGCAGAAATTACTGCCTTCATCACTTTACATGTCAATTATGAGACTGTGCTCTCCTCCAAGGACTTTCCCTGCTGCCCTCCTCACTCTGCAGCAGAGATGTTACCCTTGTTCCTCTGTCCTCCAAACAGAGCAGCAGGTCTGACCAGCACCTCCCAGCCAGCTCCCCCACTGCACATGGCAGGTTTTACTCCTTGTTAGGAGCTCCATGGAACTTCCACACACTAAGAAGCTTCCTTGGGAACTCAGGGCTCAGTTTCTTCCCTCACCACAAGCCCCACCTCTGCCTCCCCACACTGTCCTGCCTCTGCCACCCACCTTATGACATTCCCTCCTCTCCTGAAGTGCCAACCCTATTCCCTGCAGCTCTCAGTGCCCACACACTCTGTTTGTACCAGTTTTCCTTCCCTTTCAAAGAGGTTCTGGCCAGGAGCTGCCCCCTCCCATGCTGTCCATGCTCCCAGACTCACCTGGCCCAGCAGGGAAGGAGGAGCCACCAAAGGCATCTGCTGGGGCTGTGGGGGCTGCGGGCTGGAAACCTGGCATCAGGTTCTCTGTGGAGCTGCCTGCCTTTTCTGGAGCTTTCCCTGGAAAGCAGACCCAGAGTTAGGGGGAAACCTCTATTCTGAAACTTCTGTTCTATTCTGAAAGTAGGCTGCTCATCTGTATTTTCAGGCCAGTGTTCCACTAAGTGACTCAAGGCCCTTGCTGCAAATCCCAACTTGCAGATGAAGCAGGGTTTAAACTGCAGCTTCCACAGGCACTTGAGTACCAGTCAAAGCAGCTGGCACCTCTGCCTTGGAGGCACCACTGAACTGCAAACAGAAAGAACCTGGAAGGATTTAGCCAGAGGATTGTAATAATCCAGGGCACCTGAGCAGTCCCTGCCCAAAAGCATCCCCAGCCCATGGCACCCTCCCTTTCCAGAGCAGGCAGGTGTTAGAGCACCCTGGGCACCTACCATCCCCCAGCTTTGCAAAGTCCTTGTTCAGCAGCTCCTCAGCTGTCAGCTTGGAGAAGTTGTCATCATCAAAGGGGTTCCACGTGGACACGTCAGGGGGGTTGTAGACATTCTGCTGTGAGGTCCTTGGCGAGCCCGAGGGCGTGGTGGAAGCAGATCTGGATGGGATCACCCCAAACAAGAGCCATTAACCACCCATCTGAACACCCTGGCCAGCACTATCAGCTGGTCCCAACCACTACACTCTAATGACTTCCCAATTAAAACATGCAGTGTAAATTACTGCAGTCCCGTGCTCAGAAGCCTGGGAGCACTGAGGCTGAGCAGTCACAGCTCAGGGGTTAAAACCAACAGTCAAAAGGCTTCTTGCCTGTAGACACTGTAAAAGTGACCTAGCAAGTACTCCTAGGGAATCAGAGCTCCATTAAGATCTCCAAAACCATCAAGTCCAACCTTCAGGAAGCGCTGGTGTCAAGCAGTGAGAACAAAGTGCACAGCAGGGCTGTGGCTGAAATGCCACTGCCTTTTGTGAGCCACAGAAGACCCTGGTCACCCAAAGCTTTTTGGGAGCTCAGACAATTCATCAGGACTTTGGGGCAAATTTTCCAGTACTTCTTGCCAAGCCCTAAACTGAGGTCTTGAAGGCAAAGACTCACTCAGAGTTTTGTGCCTACCTTCATTCAGAGCTTTGCACCACCACCTCCCAGAGCCTGACCCAGCCTTCACTCCACACAGGGCCCTGGGACTCCTTGGACTTGCTGAGGCTGGCCCCAAAGCCCTGGGCACCTACTTGGAGTTTTGAGGCTGACCAAGAGCTGACCCCCCCCCAGGCCCTGGCACCTACTCAGACTTACTGAGGCTGACCCCCAGGCCTTGGGCACCTACTCAGACATGCTGAGGCTGAACCCCAGACCCTGGCACCTACTCAGACATGCTGAGGCTGACCCCCAGGCCCTGGCACCTACTCAAGACTTGCTGAGGCTGACCCCCAGGCCCTGGCACCTACTCAGACATGCTGAGCCTGACCCCCAGGCCCTGGCACCTACTCAGACATGTTGAGACTGACCCCCAGGCCCTGGCACCTACTCAGACTTGCTGAGGCTGACCCCCAGGCCCTGGCACGTACTTGGACTTGTTGAGGCTGGCCTCAGCAGCCGCAGCCTGCAGCAGCTGGGTGGATTTGCTGGCGGGCACGCCGAACACGGCGCTGTGGGTGACGTCGCTGAGGATGCGGCGGTGCCCCGCGCGCTGCGCCTTGGGCGAGGACGGCGGCGTCAGGGAGCCCAGCTTCTGCCCCTGAGCCTGCTGCTGCTCCCTCTGAGCCTGCACCTGTGCCTGCCAGGGGAGGAAAGGACAGTGAGCTCGCTTAGAATGGCGGCCACGGGGAGAAAACAGAGGAGAAAACAGCACCCAGCATGCCAGTCATGGACTGGGGGAGAAAACAGCACCCAGCGTGCCAGTCATGGACTGGGGATGGTCTGGAGGGGAAAAACCAGACAAACAAAGGGATTTGCAGCTCTGCAGTGTTTCAGGATTACTGAAATGGCACAGGCAGAGAGTCTCTCCCCTTTCTGTGGTGCAGCTCTGGAGGTAAAACCTCCACTAGGACTTGGCAAAGGCTGGCTGGGCTCAGATCTGCTCAGGGGCAGAGAGGCTGAGATCCAGAGCAGAGGTGGAAAGACTCAGATCAGCACTCAGGAGCTGGCAGAGGAGCATTTGTACCCAAGTCCCAGTGCCCCAAGGTCTCACCCCCTGCTCCTGTGGCTGTGCTGGCGGTGCTGTGCTGGGCTGGGCCTGGGGCTGCTGCTTCTGCTGAGCTGCTGCTGCTGCTGTGGTCTTCTGCTGCATAGCTGCCTGCTGGGCCAGCAGCTGCTGCTGCTGCTGCTGCTGCTGGTAGTAGTTCTGCATCAGCTGCTGCTGCTGTGCAGGCGCTCCTTGCTGCATCACTGGGAACTGGGAAACAATTGCTGGTTGGAGGTGTGGAGGACCTAGACCAAATCCTGCTGGAGGACTGGGGACACACAGGAAATGCCTAAAAGCTGCACCCATTCCCCCCAAAAGAGCAGGAACATGCCATAAACATAAAGCTGCAGCCCTGCAGACACAGCTGTGATGAACCCGGCGCACACACCCACCTGCTGTGCCTGCATCATCTGCTGCTGCTGCTGCTGCTGGAAGTAGGCAGCCTGCTGCTGCTGTTGCTGCTGCTGCTGCTGCAGGAGCTGCTGCTTCAGGAAAAGCTGCTGCTGCTGATGCTGAGGAGTGGCCTGGGGCTGTGTCGAGGGGACCTGGGGCTGTGCCTGGGGCGCTGCTGCCGGCTTGGCCTGGGGCTGGGCTGGAGGCTGCTGGGGGGCTGCTTTTGGCTGGGGGGTGCTGGCAGGGAGCGAGGGCTGGGCACTGCCCAGGGCAGCCGGGCCTGCAACTGGACAAGAAGCCAAAGGCAGCGTTAGGTCACTGCCCGAGGCACACGGGGAGCAGGGAGCACGGGGACACGTCGCTCACCCTGTGGCTGAATGGCTGCCTGGGCTGTGGCTCTCTTCCTGGGTGTCAGGGCTGGCTGGATGGGCAGAATCCCAGGGTTGGGCTGGGTCTGTCCTGCTTTAGGTCTCTGCCGGGGTGCTATGGAGGTTTCTGTCGTGGGGATGGGGTCTGTGAGCCTGGTAAGGAAGGAGGAGAAGGAAGGGCAGTGAGCACAGCCTGTGAGCTGGGCAGCTGGTGCACGGAACACACAGCAGGGACAAACACTCACCCACACCTCAGCTGGGTGTGACTGACAAAGGTGAAACACTCATGGGCACCCAGGCACAGTAAAGCCTCCTGCATGCATTCACAACAATTAATCCAACACTGTCGTTCTGACTTCTCTGCCAGCCGTGGCATCTTCTGCTGGTGGACAGCTGGGACTTGTCAAAACCACTCAACTTACATCCAACTATTTCCTACAACATATTGCTTGAAACCACTCAGACTTCTGAATGAGCACATGAAGGACACAAATCAGCTCATGAGCAGCTGGTACCTTTGGGCAGAGTTGTCTAAACTGCCATCTTTAGATGCACTTTAACTTTGGTACATCCACCCCAGAATCAGGTCACTGAACTCTCCTGATCTCTGCCCAATGTTTATTGAGCTCCAAAAATGCACAGCAAGAGAGAGGAGCAGCCATGCCCCCAGCCTTCTGTGGTTTGGAGATACCAAAATGATAACTAATGAACCTGATATCAGACTGTTTCTGAGGCAGGGACAGTAACTGTGCTCAGTCACCACTTGGCTACTGAAGGAAGCAGCTAAATCCACCTGTGCTAATAACAGCAGAGACAACAGGCAACAAAAGAGGGAGTAAAAAGCAGGTGGGGTTACCTGGCCTTTGGTTGACTCTTCTTTGCAGCAGCTTCACTTGCTTTAACTGGGTCTGGGAGTTTAGCAGGGATTGGAGAGTTCTGCAGATGCCAAAAATGCCAAATTTGGTATTTTGAGGGCAGAAAACAGAGTCAGAAATAATGTGCAAAAACATCACAATAAAACTGGGAGATCTGGGGATTTCCAAAGCAATTACTCCTCATGTGGACACATAACAAACACCACAAGGTTCATGTCATGGGGAGACAGGAGTTTGGGGGAGTCTTTACAAGGGAAGAAAAGAGGGCTCAGCTTTTTGATCACTGAACATGGAATATGAACACAAAGCTCCACAGCACAAATTTTTAAAAGACATGTTATTTTTAAAAGACAACCAGGGGACAGTAGTGACAAAATTCATTAATGATGCTATAAAAACACAGGCATAATAGAACCCAAACTACCTCTTATTCATAAAGACCATAATTAAGCACCTGAACACGGGGAAAAACCCCTAAGTTTCTATTTATGTAGAAACAACAAAATAAAATGTCTGTCAGTGTCCATAACAACATAAGAAAATAATTGTCAACTCTATTTTTCATCTGAAGTCTCTGCAGACACACCAAGAAGGGGCAGATGGTTGTGTAAGGTCTGATGCAGCTCAAATGCCAAGTCCCAGAACTGCTGTGCTCAAACCCAAGTGCAGGCCAAATTACACATTCTATGATGAGTGTGCCTGGAAATCAAATTGGTTTCCCAAGCATGGCCTAATTTTCCATGTTCACATGCACAAGATCTCTTGGTTGGCCTCACACTGGTGACTGGGTGAGGAGGTAAATCAGGGACAAACAGAACGAGAAACCCTGGTTTGTGACCCAAAAAAATCCAAACCAAACTGTCCCATTAGGAACAAACAAGATCCTCCTAATCAGAGGAGTGGGGCACAACCAACAGGACAGAGGGAAATGCTCAGTATTCATCAGCTGCCCCCCAGCCCCTCCCAGAGCCCCCTCAGGCACCCCCCTGCTCACCTGCACATTCTGCACTGGGCACTCCTTCTTGGCCAGTTTGAAAGCAAAGTAGGAGACCTGATAAATGTCAGGTCTCTTATCAGGGTCTGGCTCCAGCATGTACCCTTGAAGAGATGGAGGTGCAGAGATCAGAGCAGCAGGACACACAGACAGGGCAGAACATCCTGATAGAGCACAGGACTTTTCTGTGCTGAGGGTGGGGAACCCTGGCAGTGCCCAAGGCCAGGCTGGAGCACCTGGGACAGTGGGAGGTGTCCCTGTCATGGCAGGGGTGGCTCTGGGTGGGCTTTAAGGTCCCTCCAACCCAACCAACTCCACATTTGGTACAACCAGGTGTTAACAGAGTCCTGCCTCCTTCAAAGCAGTGCAGGCTGAGCTGGGCTGTGGGCTCAGCTGGGAACAGGGCAGGACAGCCAGCATGGACCAGGACAGATCTTCCACCAGAGCTGGGACCTGCAGCTGCTACCCAAGCCTCTGGGGCAGGGAGGGAAATGCTGCCTGGCCAGGGAACAGCACTGGGTGGGACTGGGCACTTCAGGTGAAGCACAGGAAAAGGGTTCATCCAGCCCTGGTGTGCCAGCAGGGCAGAGACAGGGCAGCCACAGACACCACTGCAGACAGCCCACATCAGCAAAGAAAATACCAGCCTGCTCTGCAAACACATCCAACTCTGTGTGAGTCAAGACTGTGGCTAGGAAAAGAAAAAAAATCAAAAGCTGTGCTGGAAACAAGAGAGCTGCCCCAGCTTTGCCAAGAGTAGTGCATTGTACACTTAATTACACATTCACTCTAGTCAGTGGGATATTTATAAATCATTTCAGTTCTGTTTCCCAGTTTACAGGAGATGAATTCTTATCACTAGCCTAAGTCACTGTGGTCTTTTCAGTTCCTTATCCAAACAGATTTATTACAGCAGAAATACGTTTCTGCATAAACAGGCTGATTGTGCAAGCTCCTGCAGGACTCACACCAAACTGCTGTGTGTGCTCCTGCCCTTCCACAGAGCTCCACAGCCTGGCCAGACAGCAATCTCTGTCATGATCACTCCAGGAGTGATCTCCTAACCGGCCCAAGATCACTTTAACCACCTCAGTGTGCAGGGAAGCTTCTGGAAGGGAGAGGAACTCCTGGCTGAGCTGCAGGAGCAGAGCTGCAGACACTCACGGATGAGGCAGTGCATGTCCTGGGAGTGCCTCGAGTTGTCTGGGATGGTGAAGTTGCCATCACAAATGGCCACCTGGCTCTCCCCAAAGGGCAAGGTGAAGTAGCACAGCTTGTACAGCAAACAGCCCAGGGCCTGCAGAGAGAGAACAGGGCAGGGATTCACCACGCAGGGCACGGCAGGGTCCTGGCTCCTGCTGAGGTCAGGCCTGCCCCAGCACCCTGTGAGGGAGCTGGGACAGCACAGCTCCAGGGGAAGATGAACATGCAGAGCTCTCCCTCATCACTCTGATCTGGGGGATTGCTCATCATCACACGACCCTGCGTGTCACTGAACCCTTTCTGCCACACACCGTGAGGAAAGAGCAAAGCAACAGCACAAATAAATGGCAACCATCATCATTAATACATCCATTCTGACAAAGAGAAACCCAAACTGTTTCCAGGATTAAGTCCAAACAACCTTTCAACTGCTATAAATAAATGCCAGGGAAGTACAGCTCATTCTGCAGGCTGCCAGGTTCTGCCACACTTCCCTCTACTGCCACGCTGCTTTTGGCACCAAGAGCCACCACCTCTTGCAAAAGAAAACAGTTTTTGCACAAAGGGCTAATTATGAAACACTCCCACCACCTCAGAGCTGGGAGCAGGAAACATTTCCTAATCCTAAGAAACTCACCATCAGCTCATCTCTTTTGTCACAGGATTTCACAATGAAACTGCACTCTGCCTTAAAACAGCCCTGGTAAGGTTTCAGGGAAAGGGAGTTTCCAGCAGGACAAGCACTGCAACAGGCCTGGCAGCTGAGGCCCCACCACCATACACTGCTCTGGACATGCTCCAAGTGTCACTGGAACACAACTCCTGCCACGCCAGGAGGAGCAGAGCCTTTGGATCTCCCCTTTCCACACTAGCACAGGAAGGAGTGCAAATCCTGGTTCTCCTCTGGCTGCCTTTGGGGCCCTTCCCACTGTCCAGTGGGTCCTTTCCCACTGGCACAGCTGTGACCTCCAGGCCAGGGACCCTTCCCAGTGCAGGGTGACCCCACAGACCCCTGGTTCAACCTGCTCTCACAGGAGCTGCTCACTGAGAGGGACTTTCAGCAATGTCATACCAGCAATTCTCCCTCTTGTAGATGCAGAACTATTGAACATCGATCAAAACTCTCTTTTTCTGCTTCTACCATGTTACCTCCTAGCTCAGGGCTCCAAAAAACACAAAACATGCTCCCAGCTGGCATTTTAAACACTTTTAAACATGTGCTGAACTGCCACTCCAAACAGCACAGACTCTTTTCCACCTCTGTCCCACCCAAAGGAGACCAGGTGAGCCAGGAATGGATTCCACCACAGCTGGATTTTGCTCCCACCATGAAAAAAGAGCATGGCAGGATTGCCCTGATCACCAGAAACAGTGCAGAAGTTTGGCCTTTGGCCAGTTTGACAACTGAGCCCTGTGTTACACAGGATGGGCACACTGCTGCTGCTGGGGCAGGGCCATTTTCTCAGATTTCTACTCAATTCTGACCAGAACTTTGATTCCACATACCAACAACCCAGCCCAGGCACAACGTGCCACAACACCCTGAATTTTCTGGTTTAACTCTTATGATACAAAATCAGGTTTGCCCCATTCAGCCCTGGAGTTTCACCCATCTGTAAACTGAAAGCACACAGGAGGAGCACACGGGTCTGCTGCACCAGCCTCCCTGCTCAGCAGGAGCTCATCAGAGGAGTTCTGCACCCAAAAACTGTCCAGGCTCCCAGAAAATCAGGCCAACCTTGTTTCCATGCCATGGCAGTGAAAAGATGCCCAGGGGATTGCATACATACCCAAATGTCTGCTTTTGTGGTGATGAGTTTGCCACTGTACAGGTTCACCATCTCTGGTGCTCTGTAGGACAACGTCGTGTACCTGCAGGGGAAGGTGGATCAGGGACTTCAAAAGGGGACAGCAGGCATGTCACATTCCCAAAGAATTCCAAATTCATTCTTTCCCTAGTCATTCTAAGGAAAGGGATGCTAAAGGTATCTATTGGAAAAATGTTCTAACAGCATCACCTGCTACACACCTCAAACAGTAAAACACCCCTCAAACTGCCCTGGGAAGCCAAAATAGCAACCACAATCCTCTCTAAAGCACAGAATTCACCACAAAATGTGCAGTCATTTTAAGAACAGAAACATTCAAGGATTCAAAGCATTAACAAGGTCAGTAATCAAATGTCCTCTGCAATGCCCTCACTGCAGGGCTGTGGCCAACTGTATTACAGAGATGGTAACTGGATATGCGGCTCCTGAAAAGTAGATTTCCACACCAGGAGTCCTGCTCAGAGCCACTGTGGCAAGGGATGGGTCACTGTGTACCTCAAAGCACAGTGAGAAACTGCCTCATCTTAACAGATCACAACAAACAGAAAAGCTGGAAACTGCTCCACAGATGATGAGGCTCTTGTGATAAGATTTCCTGCCAGCAGGTCTGTCACTGCTGCCTGCTGCTTACCCTGATCACAGGAAAGCATTGCCAAAGGCAAAGGTTTTGTAGGCTTAAGTGTACAAGTAGGGCACTCCAAGGGGACTGCAAGGCTGGATTAGGAGCCTGAAAACTCCAAACAAGCCTAGGAAATCCAGGCAGGTGTAGCTGAATCCCAACAAAAAGAGGCATCTGTAGCCATTCCTGACTGTTCTAACAGGAGTGGCCAGTCTGCAGGATGTTGTTAGAACTAAAGCAAGGCCAAGGACCTGGAGTGTGCTCCACCCCTGACCCAGGGCTCACTGAGCTGTAGGTGAGCCCCAAGGGGCACCAGAGATGCTGCCAGGACAGCTGGCAGTGTGTGGGGCAGGAGGAGGAGCTGGACTGAACCCCTCCAGGAGCTGGAATTTCCTGGGATCAGCCCCAGTCAGTGCCCAGATCCGTGGGGAAGGGAGCTCAGCCAGGATGGGACTGTGCCAGCCCAGCCTGGAGCTCAGAGAAGCCCAGACAGATGAAGGACAGACAGCCTGACCCTGCACAGGACAGAACAGGTCACTGCCTCACCGAGGTGGGGCTGCTGCTCTGCATTAATCTCAGGTCCAAAGCAATTACATCAAGCTCAATTTATTGTTTCACCTTCCCCAGGGCACTCATTCACCTGCAGCAGACACTGCCATGCAGCACAGCCAATCTGCTGCAACAGGCTGAGCAAAATCAACCCCAGCTCAAGAGAAAATTACCCTTCAAACACAAATACAGCTGAGCTGGAAAGGCAAAGCACACTCACTTCTTGATCTCCTCCTCGACTGCATTCACCCCCTCGGTTTGAGGGTTCTGGAATTTGTTGGTAGCACTCCCAAAGTCACACAGGACGTAGTGGCCACGGTCATGCAGCAGGATGTTTTCAACCTGGGAGCATCACAGACAGACACAGAATCACTCAGACAAGAAAATATTCAGGGTTTGGTTTTTGGTTTTTTTTTTTCAGATGAGTCAAGGTTTTAAGTGCCTGAAGACATATCAGACATATCTGACACTAAAGCCTAAAAGTGACAGCAGAGAAAACAGGCATCAAGACTGTCACATCTCCTAAAATAGACATCAAATAATGGAAGCACAGCTGTAACTCTGCCTTCCATCCTGCCACCCCTCCCTTCTCCTCCTGCAAGCACATTTCCTTGCCTCTTGTAAGACTTCAGTGCCTTTGGAGCTCAATGTTCCTGAGCTACTGTGGCCCTGGTCTGCCATCTGAATTGGGGACAGGAAATCCAAGCTGTCCCAGCTTTACAGAAGGCTGTAACTCCTCACAGTCTATGGGAGAGGCAAACAAATAACACACACACTTCTATACTTATAAAATTAAAACACATCTCCAGGTCTTTGCCTGCATCTTACCTGTCCCTGAGGGTCTCAATCAAAACAAACCTCAGCTCATGATCACATTTATTTGCCTGCTCTCAGAGTCTGCTGGGTGCCCACAGTCCCTAAACAGGGGCTGCAGCAGCAGAGGCTCCCCCAGGCTGCTGAGGACACCCCTGTCTTTCAAATATTATTTGGTACCTTCAATCAGGCAACAGAAACAAATAAAATCAGCAGAAACCTTCTCCTCCATACTCACAACTGTGCATTAACAAAACTCCACCTTGCACCCACCTAAGGAAATTGCCTGTTCCAGCACTGACTTTAATGTGTGAAACCCTGTGTTCAGATCTTTGCTTTGGCAGAGCATCCCTGTGTTCCAACTCCTCATCTGTGCAGCAGCACTAACAGCATGTTCTCTCAAGGGAACACACCATTTTTCATGTCTTTATCTTCAATCAGTGTCAAATGCTCAGATACAACACCGAGATAAAACATGCTGCTCATAGAGCCCAAAATAAATAAAAAAAATCACCACATAAGCGTTTGCTAACAAAACCCTTTGGAAGCAGAGCTCCCCATCAAGGATGGTCTTTACAAGAAGGAAAGAAAAAGGAGGAGTCAGCATTTTAAACACCAGAAAATGCAGCCAAATTAGAGCAGCTGAGGGGGAGAAGGCTGGCTTGAAACCAAGGGTTAAACACGCCCCTTCCCCCTGTGCCATCCATCTGCTTTGAATAAAGCACTGCACACAGATGTTCTCCCCAGCACATCAACACTGGCCCTGTTATTCCCTGCTCCCTGAAAGTGCTCCTCCAACACTTCCCCAAGAGTCCTCCCACTTTATCTGCCTGAGCAGTCTGATTTCTCACTCAGACACCCTGAAAGGTTTGTTAGCCATCAGCACAGGACCATCCAGCAACTAGGTTTGATCAGCAAATGCCAGGAGAAGGAAAAAATAAACACAGCAAAACAAATACACTGCCAGGCCAGAGAAAAGTGGCTTTAAAAGGAGTATGAAGGTGTTTTCTTCTGGTCAAACACCCAGGGGTGACACAGGATCTTTGTGTGCCCCCCACTCACAGTGCCATGTCCCCTTTGCCTACAGAAAAGCTGGGTAAAGGTGCTGCTGTCCCCAGCTGTTGGTCACCTCCCTCCAGCTGGGGACTGTGCCAGCAGGAGGCTGCTCTGCTTCAGGCAAAGCCTCTGGGTTAATTCAAAATCAGAGCCAGGGGCCAGTGAAACTCCTCCAGCTGCACTCGTCTGAATGGCTCAAAGCTCATTCACAGCCTCCCTTCTGCTGGCAGCAACCTCCAGCTCCAGAGCAGCATCAAAGAGCTGGAAGGCAAAAAAGGCCTCCAGGCCCCCAGATGCCTGCTAAGCCAGCATCTGCCCCCTCCTCAGCAGGGTGATATTCACCCCAAGAAAACACCTACATGTCCCTCCTGACACCCAGAACTTGCACTAAACTTCTCTGGCCTTCCTCCTCTCTTGGCTTTGCAACTGCCCCTTGACAGTGCTACATTTTAACACAAATAAAGTCAAAATATATATAAATATTAATTCTGTGTTAGTGCTTAGATCCCCAGAGGTCACCACGACAGAAACAATACACTGCTCAAGCAGAAAACACGTCTCCAAGTAGAGAAGAGCCAGCCCTGACTCTGGGCACAGCTTACCAAGAGTCAAGCCTTGCAAAGCTCCCCTGGCCTAGGCTGGACACCAGCCCCAAGAGCCCATTTCAACTGCAACTCAGGCAGAAAGCAACACCACAGATCAACTCACTAATCCAGCACAGATGTCCCAGATTTACTCTCCTGCAACACACTGAGTTTGTTCTGTATTAACCCCCCAGGGATTCACCAAAAAGGTAAGGGCAGGGTTAATGTCAGCTGGGGAGGCTCCTGGTCCTCACCCTGCTTTTCTGACCTAGACAAACTCCTGCAAGCTGCCCACAGACTTTACAGCCTTAAATCCAGGACTCAGATTGGTAAGAGATCACCCCTGGGAAGAGACACAGGAGCTGTTCCTATATCAAAATTGACTGAGAGTGGCATCACTGTCCTTTCAAACATGCCACAGCACACCAAACCCTGAGGAAGTTTTCCCCTGCTCTACCTGGCTCTCCTTGGTACACGTGGCATGTAAAACAATGGCCAGTGGCACAAACAAACATCTGTGAGGGCTCTGAAAATAGAACCTGCCCCACAAAGCACATGTGAATTTCAAATTCACGCAGCAGCCTCCTTCTTGGCTGAGTATTTCATTCCAGCTCGATGAGAGCAAAGGGAACATCTTCTTGTTTGCTGGATTTCAAGTGGGGGATTTTCCCCAAGCTGGCCCTGCTCTGTTCCCAGCTAAGCACACAGTTTTACAACACACTTTCATGGTCAGAGCTCCAGAGGCCACTTTCAAAAGCTCCTAAGCATTCCTGCCCCAAGGCCAACACTTCTGAAGTGCTCCTTTTAATCTGGAAACAATTTTGTGAGCTACCTTAAATAAGAAGTGTTTCAGGTCACTGTGAATAATTCATCAGGTACATTCTGGCACGTGTGCAAGCCACAATTATTCACAAACATTTGTGTTTAAGTAGATCTATAGATGGCAAACATATGGTAAGCAGCACTGAGAAGCTCATTTCTTTTTTTATCTCCCAGCAGAGGTGTGTTTATGCCCACTTTCCCTCATTACCAGCAGGAGAAGCACAGCGTGGGCAGCCGGCAGACAGGCAGGAGGATGCACCTTACCTCCCTGCTGCAGCCCTGGGGGCACAGCTCACCTTGAGGTCCCTGTGGATGATGGGGGTCTTGCACTGGTGCAGCCTGGCCACGGCCTCGCAGGTGTCACAGAAGATCTGCAGGACCTCGCTCTCGGTGAAGCCGGTCTGCAGGCGCTGGTTCATCAGGTTCACCACCTGTCCCCCTGCAGGGCACAGCAGCAGGACAGTGAGCTGGGGGGTGCCAAAGCATGGCAGGGACACAGCTCTGACCATCCCAAACCACGGCAGGGACACAGCTCTGACCATCCCAAACCCCAGCAGGGACACAGCACTGACCATCCCAAACCACAGCAGGGACACAGCTCTGACCATCCCAAACCCCAGCAGCAGGACAGTGAGCTCTGGATCCCCAATCACAGCAGGACAGTGAGCCCTGGACTAATTTTTGTCTTCCAAATAGGCCTTCTTCTGTCTGACTAGAGGAATAAAAGGCTGGAGACAGTGAGCCCTGGACTAATTTTTCTTTTTTTCTTCCAAATAGGCCTTCTTCTGTCTGACTAGAGGAATAAAAGGCTGGATTTGGGGCACCCACAGCCCACAGATTAGTCTGCCTCACGTAAGCAAAGGAGGGAGGAAAGCAGACATTCAGAAAACCCACATGTTAAGTGGCTTGGCTGAAGTTGTGGACTGCAAAGAATTAAAAATCCATCTGTAACAAGGGAAACTCTGGACAAACAAAAGCAAGTTTTCACGAATGAGTCTTGAATCTGTCTCAGCTTTGGGGTTTTGTTGCTGTCAAGGCCTTTCCAAAACAATCCTGAGGGTTTTTTCTCCTCTAAACGCCCTAGACAGACAGAGAAAAACTCCTTTCTGAAGCTCTGGTGAAGCAGTACTGCATCATTCCACATCACAAGTGCTGGAAAACTTTCGTGGTAGGAAAGAAAAGCTCAGTTTAATGAATACTACAGCTGTGAACATTTTACACCCAAAATGAATGCAGTCCTGCACACAAAGGCACTGATTTGGTTTGGAAAGTGTTGGCCACAAAAGGAAAGTAACAAGGGAAAATCAGTGTGTAACAACCATTGTAGGGAGAGGGCTGCAGGCAGCAGCACAGCATCTGGCAAGAGCCATGTGAGAAAAGCCACCTCCTTCCAGATGGAAGGAAACTCCTCAGAAAGATGGGGTTTATTTCTTCAGCCCAAAATGTGGCCACTGCAGCTGGGGGGTGCCTGTGAACAGCTCAGGTTTGTACCTCCCTCCACACTGTGCTCTGCACATGGGGCTGAGCAGGGATTTGCCAGCACTGGTCATGCTTAGCTTGAAGCTTAAAGAGATATTATGGGTGATTCCTTCACCAAAACTGCCCAAAAATTCCTTGTCTCACCAGCAAACAACCCAGGGCAAGGCAGGCCAGACTCCTGCAGCAAAACACAGCAGCAAAGAGGACGTGGCAGAACAGAAGCCTGCACTGGGCCTGTTTACACACATCTACACGTGTGTAAATGCTACGGTGCTTTTGAGTTCAAAGCCAGACAGGCCCAAAAATATCCATTTCTATCAGCTGCCACCATCCAAACCAGCCACAGGCTCCTGAAGTCACCTGGCCAAAACATTCTTTTTGCTGGACACCCTTCTGCAAGAAGCATTTGAGCCCAGCACATGCATCATGCTCCAAACACCACGTTCCAGCCACAAAGATCAAAGCTTTGGGACAGCTGGAAGAGCCTGTCTGGCTACAGACAGCCAAGCAAAAAGGTCAGAGGTAACAGGAATGCTTTTTGGCTTCCCATTATCCATGTCTTGCTTCTTCCAGAACAATCCTAAGCCAGGCTGATGTGGAACAAAGCTTGCAATGAGACTAAAGTGAAGAAAAATTACATTCCTGGCTGCTTTAAGAGGAGCCACTTCTTGTGTGGACCATTCTAAAGACAACAGCAAGATGTATTTAAGGGTTCTCCTTCACAGCAGAGGGAACCCTGGGCAGCAGCAAAGATGGCTCCAATCCCAGGGGTAGAGTCAACACAGCCCACTCCTGGCTTTGCTCAGCTCAGGACACCTTCCTGGCAGCTTAGGGACAGCTCCTTTTCCCAAAGGAAGATGTGCAAGGTCCCTGCAGGCACAGAAGGACAAAGCCACCCACAACCAGCCCCACACAGCCCCACTCACCCCGGCAGAAGTCCATGAGGATCAGCACCTCCCACACGTCGCCGCTGCTGACGGAGTTGATGCTGGAGTCGATGTAGCCCACAATGTTCTTGTGGCCAGACAGATCCCGCTGCAAGACAGACAAATTCACACGTGGAGCAGCCAAATGTACACATGGACCAGCCAAAATCACACCATGGAGCAGCCAAAATCACACCACGGACCAGCCTCATCCACATCATGGACCAGCCAAAATCACACCATGGACCAGCCAAAATCACACCATGGACCAGCCTCATCCACACCATGGACCAGCCTCATCCACACCATGGACCAGCCTCATCCACACCATGGACCAGCCTCATCCACACCATGGACCAGCCAAAACCACACCATGAACCAGCCAAAATCACACCGTGGACCAGCCCCATCCACACCATGGACCAGCCAAAATCACACCATGGACCAGCCAAAACCACACCATGGACCAGCCAAAATCACACCATGGACCAGCCCCATCCACACCATGAACCAGCCAAAACCACACCATGAACCAGCCTCATCCACACCATGGACCAGCCAAAACCACACCATGAACCAGCCAAAATCACACCGTGGACCAGCCCCATCCACACCATGGACCAGCCAAAATCACACCATGGACCAGCCAAAACCACACCATGGACCAGCCAAAATCACACCATGGACCAGCCCCATCCACACCATGGACCCTCCTCACCCTCACTTTCCATGAGCCAGCATTCCAAAGACACCAAAGACAGGGAGACAAGAGAAAGCAGCAGCAGGTGAAACCCAAGTAAACAAGCTTTGATGTGAAATCTAATCTCACCTTTTCCCTCGTAGCCCAAAGCTTCCCTGCACTATCACAAACTACAGCAGTTCACTTACAAGGTATTAACCTAATTTAAAGCTACTGCAGAAATCACACACAGAATTGCTACAGGTAGGAGTTTCTGACATCCACCCCAAACCTGTACCTTGCGTGGTAAATTCACAAAATGAGAATTTTATATTTCCTTCCCCACCTGGCTGCTGCTCTAAATGTTCATCAGTATCTTTGAATGCAACTTCAAAAGTGGCACTTCTATGTTTACCATGTTGCAAACAAGATTAGGCAAATCTATTTGGATCACCTCCATTTTGTCTTTGTTTAGGGAAGCTAAGTTTGAAACACCTATTAAAAATAGCTATCCCATCATATAAATCCTTGTGCCCAATAATCTAGAGAAACATCCCAGAGCTTATTACAAATACTTTACATTTCAAAAGCCCTGGCAGCAGCTACCCCACAAATACTGTTTTAATCTACCAACCTCAGCAATGCAGAGATAACCTTCATCCCAGCCCAAAGGATTAGAAGATGCTGTGATGCAGATTTATCTCAGGATGGAGATCTGCCATTCATGCACTGATTTCAGTTCAGAGATATCAGAATCATCAGCCTTTTCTCCTCGAGTTTGAAAGGCTGAAGTCTTGAGATCTCAACTGAAGATTGTGAGACTCTGAATTCCAACATCCCCAGCTATGCTCACATCTTCAGCCCTTCCTTTTCCCATTAAGCCATGCAGTTCTCCCCTCCTGGAATTCCCTGATTTTTTCAGGTTTTCCTTGTCCACTAGACAGGAACTTTTGAAACAGGTCAGTACAAGATTTTCACACAACTCCAGAGGTCAGCTCTTCCCACACAAAAGCCATTTTTGCTAGGAAAACGCACGGTTTGTGACCCGGTGCCACAAAGCTCACAAGCAGAAGGTGTCCAGGCTCCCAGGCCCTGCACAGAGCAGGCACTCACCATAATCTGGATCTCTCTCTTGCAGACCTGCAGGTCGTACTCGTTATTGACGTACATCCTCTTCAGGGCACACTTCACCCCATTGCTCGTCCTCACCAGGAACACGATTGCAAAGCCACCTATGGAGGACACAAAATCACCTGCTCATTAACAACAAACTTCTCTGCTCCCAACCCTGGCCCTGCCAGGGGAGTGCAGCTGGGACAGGGGGGCACTGAGCAGCTCCCACCTTCCATGGTGGCAATGCTCCTTCCGTGCCCCTCTCCCAGCTCTGCCCGGTCAGTTATCTCTAGGAACTCACAGGGATCCAAGGGGGTAATCTTCAATTAATGGCAACGAAGTTAACACTTAACATCTCCATAAAAACAAGCAATTACACCAGTTCCTGATCCTGCCAGACAGTCCCTCATTGCTCCATTAATTCCCATTATGAAGAAGAAAGCTGAAGGACAGCAATGCTGCCTTGGACAGAAATCAGAGCTACAGATCACCCACTGAACCACCAAAGGCCTCAACTTAAAAGGCTCTGCAACTTTGAAGCATCTAAGTTACATTACAAAGCTGATTTGTGCAAGAAGCAGAAGAAATATCTCTCACATGCAGTTTGATGTTAATGCTTTTCAATCAGGACAGAAGAACAAGGGAAAAACCCACAATTCATTCTGTGGTCATTGCTATTAGTAAAGTCAGGATTCCCAGGATAAATTGACTTGTTTCAGATGAAAGCCTTTCATCTCTGTCAGCTCTCCACCCAAATACACAGGTTTGCATTTGTAGTCCTGACAGAAATAGGAAGCTGAAGGAGGATGGAGGGGTAGAGGCATCAAAAGTTTCACACCTGGCTCTGGAGATGGAATGATTTTGGGCAGAGTGGCACAGATCCAAGCAGCCACAAGTGCTGCACACTGGTGAAAAGGGAGGCACAGTGACACTGCTGATGCCACAGCCCAGCAGCACCTCACACTGTATTTCTTTTATATTTTCAATGGTTTTTTATGACATTACAGCTCCTCTTCCACCTCGACACAGGTAACTCACCTGCCAGCATGGGAACTGCTCAGCAGGAATCTCTCCTGGCAGGCAAACCCCTCAGTTTTACACAGCACAGTCTGCCACAGAACTAGAGCAGCCTTCCCAAGGAAGCCCCACTGACTTCTAGAAGCAGCCCCAAAGATACAGCAGAAAGATGGGACAGAAAGAAGAAACAAAACAAAAAACCATTCCTGCTCCCTTCCCTCCCCACAAAAAAAAAAAAAAAAAAAAAAAAAAAAAACCCAAAAGCTTTAAATTTAAGTCTTGAAAACTGAAAAAAGAAGCATCATCAAGACTTCAGTTTAAGGTCTTGAAAACTGCAAAATGGACACTCAAAGTCAGAAATGTGGGACATGGCCCTGGGATGCAGCACACCACAGCTGCTCGAGCCCCCTTGCAGCTCTGGAGGGGCCTCTGTGCACAGAGCTCAATTCAGACCCAAAAATAACCCTGACTCTCCCTGAAGCTGCCTCAAGTTGAGGATCTCAAATTACAAGTCATTTTTAAGAGCTTCTGAACCCACAGCAGTAGCCTTATTGTTCTCCTCAGCCACATTTGTCTCGTTTTCGGAGAACAAATCTGCACATCCCGCTGTGAATCTTCACCCAAAGGGTGGCTGTGGAAAAGAGCAACACAGCACTGCACTGATTTTTCTTCCCCTTCTTATAACCCACAGTGGAGCCAGGAGGAAATAAGGGACCATACTCAACACAATTTTCCCAACCCCTACTTTGCTAACAGCCTATATTTTTCAGAATCATTGGAGAGATCAGGCTTGGAATACTTTTTGAAAAATTTCTATACAGTTATTTCCATGGATCTCAGAAAAAATACTAGAGAAAAAAAAAAAAAAAACAAAACAAAACCCAGAGTTGTTTTTTCAAAGTTTATTACAGTCCCAATTTTGGTTTTGGGACTAACACTTTTGGGTTTCCCTGCCCCCCAGAATGAGCAGTCACCCAGAGAAGCCCCTGCTCCACCCCAGGGGCTCAGTTCCCTTTCCCCAGCTCTGGCCAGCAGGATATGGGATCTCACAGTGCTGTGCTCAGCAGAAAGAAACACGAGCTGAGCAGCAAAAATACATGAATTAAACTTCTTTTTTTTTAAAAAAAAAGCAGCTTCACTAACCTCAAGAACTTCCTCCTGCTCCCAAACCTTTGCTTCAGCTGAGTGGGACTGGAGCCTCCTCAGACCACCTGCTAGTGCCTCATCCACAGGTCCTTCCCTCTACCAGGATCCTGAGCTAATTAACAGAGTCACCTCCATTAGAGCACCCTCGTTAGAACATGCACATCCTGCACGAGCCAGCTGGCACACAAAACTACAGTCTGTGCAAGGGAGAACACAGAGCCAGCATCCCAGGAGCTCAGGGGGAAGAGACCTCCCAAACCCCAAAATGTTCATTACTGACTGCTCAGGAGCTGTGCAGAGATAAAGAAAATGGCCACAAAGTGTGGCACTGCAGAAAAGGTGCAGAGTTTAAGGCTGGGGGCAGGTGAATACACTGGGTATACACCTGGCAAACACACCTGAAGCACCTGAAACCCTTTTATTGGCAATTGTGGCCATCAAATGCACACCACAAAGCAGCTGAGAAGGAGCTGTGCTCCTCAGGAGCACACACAGCTCAGGTGTGACAGCAGAGGGGCAGCAGGACCCACCAGATGGCCCAGAGTGTCCCTTGGCAGCAGCAGCCAGCACCTGGGCTGCAGCCAGCACTGCTCATCCAGGACCTTCTGGTTCAAATTCTGATGGATTCCAGAGCCCCCTTCATCCAGCACTGATTATCCAGGACCTTCTGGTTCAAATTCTGATGGATTTCAGAGCCCCCTTCACCCAGCACTGCTCATCCAGGACTTTGGGATGGATTCCAGAGCCCCCTTCATCCAGCACTGCTCATCCAGGACTTTGGGATGGATTCCAGAGCCCCCTTCATCCAGCACTGCTCATCCAGGACTTTGGGATGGATTCCAGAGCCCCCTTCATCCAGCACTGCTCATCCAGGACCTTCTGGTTCAAATTCTGATGGATTTCAGAGCTCTCTTCACCCAGCACTGCTCATCCAGGACCTTCTGATTCAAATTCTGATGGATTTCAGAGCCCCCTTCACCCAGCACTGCTCATCCAGGACCTTCTGATTCATATTCTGATGGATTCCAGAGCCCCCTTCACCCAGCAGTGCTTATCCAGGACCTTCTGATTCTTCTGGTTCAAATTCTGATGGATTTCAGAGCTCCCTCCACTCAGCACTGCTTATCCAGGACCTTCTGATGGATTTCAGAGCTGCCTTCCCCCAGCACTTCCAGCAGAGCAGGGGCTGTTCCCAGAGGCTGGTGGGTGTCTCCTGTGGGCTGCAGCCCTGCCTGGTCACTGCCCACTCCACAGCCAGGCCTTGCCCAGATGTGTCACCCATCAGAAGTTTTTCACTGTTTTTTCTGTTCACTCTGTTTTTTTCTTTCTGTTTTTGTCAGCATCATGCTGAAAATCACACACTTACATTATCTTTTAACTGCTGACAGCTGCCTAATCCTTCCTCCTTGCCCACTGCACATCTACACCATCACCTCCTCCTCCTCAGCCTCAAGGGTTCTCAGCCTCCAGAGCTCCAGACCACAACCAATTTCTCCCTCATCATTCCAGTCCAACCCCCAACTTGGCCAAATCCGGGTAAAGTTGAAAGGAAACAGATCAAAGACAAATTTACAAGCAATTATGATGAAGCCCTGCCAGATGCACATTACAGGACCATTTACTCCTCTTCTCAGAGAACAGCAAGACAACACCAGGCACTGCCAGCTCCAACATAAAGATGATCATCCTGGGATCTGAGCAGCTCCCAGCAGCCAAGGTCAGCTCAGGAGCCTGTGCTACACGTGCCCAGGGAGGATGGGTCACACACAGGCACAGCTTAGAGGCAAAGTATTCCAGGCACCAGGAACATGCCCATATCTCTGTGGTAAATCCTCTTTTCCAGTGCACGTGTGGAAAGCAAAGGCACGAGACCAGTGCAGGCTTCAGCTGTAACAGAATAAATAATCCAGAGACTTGTAAGTGCCAGAAGGGACAAGAGCAAGAGCTAAGCCTGAGAGTCACCTCAGAAGACAGTTTTCTCCTGCAATATGCCTCTGATTTAAGGTTCTGAAGGGAATTCAACTCTCTTCCCACACCAGCCAGCAAAAACTAAAATACCCTTCCCATTCTAAAACGTGAGAAGTTATTCCTGTGCTCACCCTTAAGACATATTGACATTGTTGAGCAGGCAGCACACAGCCAGCATGGGATCACCATCAGCTCAGAGCCAGCACCAGCTGCAGGGGTCTCTCTGGGGAAACTTCTTTTTGTGTCTCTTTGGCACTTTAGGCCTGCCTGAACTACATGGAAACATGGTTATCATGCTACACACTGCTGCCTGACTGTTGCTCTTGCTAAAAGGTTTTAGGATAAGCTGAAAAAATACTGGGAAGTTCCAATTATCTCCAGTCAATACAGATGCCAAAGCAATTTTCCATGCAGGTTTGTGTCAGGGCACTGGCCAGCTGCCAGCTCTGGTAGTTATGTTTTCAGCCCTTCTGTAATTTCAGCAGGATGCACAACTCCTCACAGCCAGGAAAGCACTTCTAAACTAGGTAAGAGCAGCTGCCCGTGATCCCTCCCAGCTCCTGCAAGGTAAGGAGATAGCTGTGCTGAGTTCAAGGGATTCATGTTGGATTGCAGACTGGAATGCTCCTGCAGCCAGCAGTGCCAACCAAGCATGGAATTTGCACCAGCTGACCCCCTCGGTGCTCTGCATGCAGCCAGCCCACTGTGCTTCAGCACTGCAGCTGAGGGGAAGCCAAGTGCTGCTCAGATGTCCCCAAAACTGCCCCAGGAACATTCAGCCTCCAGGGACAGCCAGCAAGGCATTTTAAGCTCCAGCTGTACCAGCAGGCACTTAATTTTAAGTGCTCTGCTGAACCAGGCACAAAGCCACTCCATTTGCACAATTCCAATACTCACTGATCCTTATCCATCAAGAATTATGTCATATTTTGCCTTATCTCACCAGCCAGAAGAACTTCCTTAGCACTTACCTTCCTAAGTACAAGGG